TGGTAAGGATACACCTGTGCCAGTTTGGTTCTGCTTCCGAAAGTACCAGCATTTCCCTCGAGGGGTTGCTGCTCGTGTTTGACTGAGCTGGTAAAATTCTTACACTTTCTGAAGATTGGTCTCATTACCTCGGGAGGTAAACAGTGCATCAAGCTCGTGGGCTTGAGACTTGTGAGTCCGGATTCAGGATCTTTCAGTCCGTATGCGCAGAAATGGAAATCTCCCCAGGTCACGGATGGATCTGAAATAGTTGCCGCGTACAGTTCAGATAGCATATCTTGGATGTCTGAGGATTTTCAATGATGAAGTATCTTCCGTGCTTCAACTGATATCGCGCAATGGATGCCACAAACTGAACCATGTGAAGATAGCGTTTCCGCTTCTCCCAGACTCTTTGTTGGTCTTGTTGAATGTTCTGCATATTTGACCACGGTCCACGGACCGGTGCCATGAGCATTACATCAGGTGCTTGCTCCTTGATGATCTCCATGACCATGTGTCGTCCCTTGGATGTCATTACGTCGAATCCGGTGCGGATGTCTACGGGAGTCCCAACCTTAAGACCTGTGAGTGCGCAGCATTGACTGAATCTGGCACTTCCTGAAAAGGTCTCGAGAACGTGGATCTTCCCCTTACGTACACAATTCCAATGTGCTTGTTCAGGAACGGATGTGAGGTCCTCGACGAACATGTTCTCTGCCGGATGAGGTGCTGCAGGCTTGGGAGTTGTCTTACCCGCGATGCGTCATGGAACTGAGGATTTTGGCTTAGGAACTGGTGCGGATGACTCCTTCTTCTTGGAGTCGGCTGAGGAGCCGGATTGCTCTTTCTGCAAGGATTCTCGCTCTTCTCAATTCCAGGTTTTCCCGGAAGGATGGTTTCATCCTTTCTGACCTTCGTCATGTTAACCTTGATGAGTCGAGTCCCAAGATCAAGTCCTGCCATTGCTCCTTCGATGGAAATGACTTGTCCTTTTAGCCATATTCCTCCCTTGCTTCCATCGGAACGGATTTTGGATTGTCTTCCTGCCAGTAAAATACCTTGTCCTTCACCTGAAGAGGCTTAGAACTCATTCGGAGATTTTGAGCAAGGTCTCGTCGGATGTCTTCGGATTGACGTGCTTCTTGGAATGCTTGCTTAGACACTGGATGGCTGTCAGCTCTTCCCCATTCCTGTCAATCGTCAACTGAGTTGGTGTTGCGACATCGAGTTGGATGAGATCTGCTGGTCGTCTTCCGAATGCGAGTTCCAATGGTGTTACAGCCCCGTAGGTGACAGTCTGATTCCTGACAGTTGCAGCTGCCTTCACCAGCTGTCTATATGTCACTTTCTTCAGTGTTGCAGGTGTGTGCCTGCCTTGATGGAACTTAGCATGATCTTGAGTTGTGCCTTCAGGAGTCGAACTGCAGCTTCAGCTCGATTTGGCCATGGTGTGTTCGGTCCCAAGGATATCGGTGTGATGTCAAGGGATTGATAGAAATGTTCCCATGTCTCCGTCATGAAGGCTTGATCTGCGACAACTGATTTGGGCTGCAAGTGGTACTGGTAGGACATTGATGTTCTCGACTTCTTGCGTAGTTGTCACTGCCTCTGCAGTGAGCAATGTTGTTGCTCCATCCAGGATGACAAAAACAATGATGTGTTCTCCTGTTCCAAGAAGAACTTGACAGTGATCAGTGAATGTCATGTCACCGAAGGTGTCCGCTCTAAGTCCACTCGTCTTGCTTCGTGATGGTGACGGTTTTGCCGCTTGGCAAACTTCACATTCACTTCGGATTTTGTCAAATAGATCGATTGTTGATTTTGGCAAGTGAAGCGAACGAGTTCTGAATCGAAGTTGATCTGTTGTCATGTGAAGGTGGAGCTTCTTCAACTCTTCGGGATTTGACAATCGCTTGTGGATTCTGCCAAGGGCAATCGGAAGCGATGTTGGTTCATCTGAGGATGGTGCGAAAGGATCTGGCTCAATGGTCGACCGGCCCTTCTTGTCGATGATCCTGTCTGCTGCCGATCCTGAACCTGCTTCTTCGTCCTTCAGCGAATTGTCCGCGAAGGTGAAAATGGTCTTACCTTTCCACAGGTTAATCATTGGCTTGTTTGCCTGGGATGTAAGTCTCCAATTGTCTTCTAGAATGTCTGGATCTCCACCTTCGGATGCATCTATGATTACCGTGGTACGCTCTCGGCTGATGTTATCAGGATTGATTGGACATTCCTTGGCCCCATTTGGTGTGAACAGCGCCTTGCGAGGCGTGATATGCACACGGATGAGCTGCTTGTTCTTTTTGTCAAGGATCCAATGGTCCTGCTTTTGAGACCCTAGGTCCTCCTTCGTCTCGGATGATTTGGATGCACAAACAGTTTCACTCTTGGAGATATCCCCGGAGGGAAACTTGATGCTGTTGTCATCATCGAAGACGTAGTTGGTGAGGCCCTTGATGGCAATTTCTCCATGTGCTTTCACTCTTGCAACTCCAGCGAGGTTGACGAGTGCATGTCCTGTACCGGATACTGGAACTGCTTGACGGTTCATGCCAAAGGCCTTGCATGTGATCTTGTCACATTGAGGTGTGTGCTCAATGGTCATGTAGAGGTTCCGCATCTGACTGATGCTGAGGAGGATCGGTACAGTTCCTTGTTCAAGGAGTCGATGTTGGTACTGCATGGAGGAGTTGTGTGATATCGGAGACGCAAGGTCCAATATACCTTGGCTGTTTCTCCGTTTGCAAAAGTGAACTTGGTCTCGGCCGGGATGTACTGATAGGAGATGAGGTCCTTCATGGGTTTGACGGCCTGAGTAAAACGCTGGATTGCATGCCAGCTGCCCATGGATCTGGTACATCCGTTGTCCAGGATCGCATAGGTCGGATTGTGCTGAGGGTTGATGACAGGCGCCATCAGCTTTGTTGCCAAAAGGCTGTGATCTGTTGTTACGGACAAATTGTGTTCTGAAACTGTATCTGATTGGGTCAGCTTCCCGTGGATGGCTTCTTTCCCATGATGCTCATATGCGTCATGGAATGCCATTAGCGCTTGTCCTGTGCTGGATGTCTCATGGGACGAGTACCAGCCTTGTTCGTTCCATGTCCATGATTGACCCCAATCTTGGTTTGTCCAACCAGCATGGGCAGGCTCTTGGAGTTCGATGGCTGCGAACGTTTTGCATTTTCCTTTGTCATGTCCGCCTTTTCCTTTGCCATTCTCATAGGATGGATAACCCGTGTTTCCATCATAGCGGATATTGGAATTTGGATTTTCCTTTCTTTCCCTTCTTTCCTTTGCCTTTTCCCCAATATGCCTGGTCGTAGGGATCATAGTTTTCATTGGCCAAATTGGCCTTCCCGCCAGTACCGCTTTTCCGAAAGGGTTTGAAGCCACCTCGTTGGTGACTGCCCTTTTTGTTTCCTGATTTTCCTTTTTCTTTTCTCTTTTTGAATCTGAAATTCCGCCCTGACACTTTTCTTGCTATGAACGCACCGTTCTCTTCGAGGACCCAGAATGTCTCTTCATCGTTGTTTGACATGAATCCTTCAAGTCCATCTTCATCTTCAACCCAAAAGCCTTCTTCTCCTTCGTATTCGCCTTGTTCGAGGATGAAGAATGTGTTGCTTTGGTTGCCTCCTTGAGGTCGGATGGATGGATCTTGGATGGATGTCCTGGTCGTGACGAAGAGTTCATGGTAATGCGTCTTCAGCATCTCATAGGAGTAGTGCTCGAGTGAAATGTTTCTCAGTGACATGGCACTGGTCAGTCTTTCTTTCTGCTGATCTGACAATTCACTTTGAATGATGAAAAACTGCGCTATGAGGTTCTGTCCTGCATTCCCGTGATATACTGTCTGAGGACTGTCGGATCATCCTCATTTAGCTGGACTGGAGGCGGTGCTCGAATACCGGCTGCTTGCTGATGTCGAGGAATTGTTCTGTTGTTTGCGTCCTGTACGGACTGTCGAAATGATGGGGACTGTGCCGTGAAGACGGGCATCAAGTCCATCCATGCTGCCTTCAATCTCATGAGAAGGATTTCGAATTTGGATGTGAAAATGAGGAACTCTTGGTTCTGCCTTCTGTGATTGAAGAAACTGAGGAGCCTGTACAGATACACGTTGGTCGCACCTTTCAGGAAGTACTTCTTCAGCGTGTTCTTGAAATAGTTGACTCCTTCATCAGGATCTTGCAAAAGGTCATTTTGGAGGACTGCCCTGTACATGTAAGCATCTCCTGTGAGTCTGCTTTTGAGGAGTGGTCCTCTCTTGGGTGCTTCCACCGTGGTGATTGTCACCCAGTCGTCCACGAGTTCTTCATGCCTGAACCAGCTGACTTTTCCGTCGTACAATGGCGGCTGCTTGGCGGTCATCGATAAGTTGAGGGTTTCCTCCGTATAGCCGGATGATTTGGCCACACTTGAATAGGCCTCCATGAAGCCTTCTCCATCGGATGACATTTTTCCCTGGATCTCTGCGGAAAACCTGCTCCGCTACCACAAATTGAGGCCCACTGCCGGGGGTACCTATCCCGGAAAAGAACTGGTACCCTGTGGTAGTAGAGGTCGTTTATTCGGTCCCTGGATCTATTCCGGAGAGAGTCCAACATGCCAATATGGATGATTGGAGGATGGATTGTTTCTGGTGGACTGACTTGTTGTATAATCCTGTAAGCGGCCTGCAAAGGTTCCTTTGTCACGCATTCATGAGTATTGCTGTGGTACGGAGGGGCCTTGAGCCAAATGGTTGCGGTCGATCAACATTGGTCAAAAACAGACACAGGGGGGAGGGGGGGGGGTGACGCCAGTTTAGACGAGGCAAAAATCCGCGCCAAGGAACAATCTACAACACAGCACAAACAAGACTACATACAAGAACCATTCCAGCTTTGAGCTGCACCCTCACACAAACACGGTGCCCGATCCTTGTGGCCATGTGGACCAGCAATGCTTTGGGGGGAAAGGTACCATTTGTATTAAGGATTCACGGAAAAAACTAGGGTTTAGCTCATTGCCAGGTAGGCCGGCGGTTGCTGCTTCGTCGCCTGGGCGCCGCAGTGCGCTGTGGGCTCTTCGAGGACCCCCCGCTGACGTCTGCGGAGGGCGCGCAGCGTGCGCAAGCGGCGCAGGTGGGGCAACTGGCGGCGGCAGCCACAGGCAACGAGTTTCAGGCGCCTGGGGAGGGCTGGGCTGTTGGTATTGGAGAAAGGAGAAACCAAACCTGGCTGGTTTGAGAACCAAAGGAGAAACCAAGCCTGTCGGGGCTAGCTTGAGGCACATGCTAGTGGATGGAGCTCGGGCAGTTAGATAGTTTAGATCCAGGTGGAAGGGGTTAGGCCCTGTCGTAACCTGCAAGTGCGATTCGTGTAGGAGTGCATGGGGGCACTTTCGAATAGTGGGTTGCGGTGGTGTGCGTCAGATCAGAGTTCGTGTGAGTCCTTCAGCAAAAGGGAAGCTCTTGGGTAGAGTCATACTTTCTTATGGTGTTTGGGCTAGAATTGCCACCATAAAAACCGGGTAGATGAAGGTTAGTAAGGGATAATGGCAGGTTGCGCCGTTTTCATTCTTTACGTGGTTCCGGGTAGACCATTTTCATGCAAGGTTTTAATCATGACGTCATGTGGTTCTGGTGTTTCGCCAGCAGAGTTTTGGCCCTTGGTCAGGGGCGTCGAACCAGAATACTCCGATGTGTAGTCGCTTGAAGTCCCCTCAAGCTCTTGCGACACCTTTGACCCGTAAATATGCTGACCTCTAGTTTGCTCAACATTTGCCCTTGCAGGATCATGCAATCTACAACTTTTGTTATATGGCAGACATGTGCTACAGTTCATTTCCGTATGTAAATTGGGAATTGGAAGCTCTCGCAAGTTGTTGAAAGCCTGAAGTTGGGAAGCCTTGCAAAAGGAAAGGTGCGGTACAGGCGCAACAGCACGTGGGAGTGATTTGACCGACTGACGCAAAGGCCTTGAAATTTGATTTTCATGTCTTGCAGCACGGTGTCAGTAGGTTCAACTGTTGTTGACTTATTCGTTGCCCATCGTTGCAACTTGGCCACGCAGAAACGACTTTCACAAGACTTCGCCAGGGCTAACGAAATTAACGTATCTAGACACTGTCAGCAACCTTGAACCTGTCAACTGAAGCTGCCCCTCCGGGCATGATATACAGATGCATAATTGCCTATTTGTTGGCTTTGTCCCAAATTCACACTGTCCAAGGAACAACGAGAAACTTGGGCTCAATGACGCATTGTGGGCAGGCTTTGTCGCCTGGAATGGTGCAACATTCCATTTTTGCTCAGAAGGCAGTTTTTTATTTGCCCGCTGAGCCACTTCCTCCAAGAAAGGACAGAGGGAACAGCAGAGGACGGGACGGATTGAAGGAACAGAGAGAACAGAGGCCTGAAGAGAACACGGGCAACAAAGGTTCAACCTGTTGAACCTTTGTTCCCGTTCGCTTCAGCCTGTGAACCAGGGCTGGCAGTCGAAGCAAGTGAAGCCCCTTGCACTGGCGGCTCTAGGCGGCCACCTTCCTGCCCAAGGCCCTGTGCGCATCGCTGGACTCCGCGAGGCCCGGCTTGTTGGGGTCTTGGCACCCCTTGCCCGGCAGCTTCAGCCAGAACGGCCACAAGGAGCGGGGAGGTCTAGGGGGGGGGGGCCGGGGTTTGGGGGGGGGGGGGGCGAAACTTGGTGAAGTTTCGCCACACGATGATCACTGCCGGTAACGGCTTCGGGGCCTTTGATGGGCTGGTCGCTTTCTTGGGGCTTGTCTGTGACCCATTTTGCTTCCGATATCTTTGGCCACCAAGCAGCGCTTCTTTCTCAACGCATCTTAGCTTCGCCACATTTGTTCGGGCTGATGCCAGAACAGGGTGCGTAGATAAAGAACCTCGCGGTTTTGGACCGTGTGCTTGTCATTGCATCCTGGTTGTGAGTTGAGGATGCAATTGAACATCCATGCGTGAAAGCAGTAGCAGCCCTCTTTTCAAAGCAGGTGCTGGAGAAAAACGTTCAATTTGACATGCGTGCTGCTTTTGCAGAATGGCAGCTCGCGGTTCTTGAGTGCTCCATTATGATTGGCTGAAACACTGGCAATAGCTCAATCGCACTGACTCTTGTTACGGTATGTCAGCGAAGCTGCACTACCAATTTCCAACCCACAATTCCTGTGTGGGACCCTTCTGCACGTGGACAAATTCGTTTGCTGTGATCACGGCACGTGCTTGACCTGTATGGAATATTGCCTCAGCTAGCACGCCGCATCGTCGCCACTCAACCCCACCCCACCACACCACCTTGCCGCATCCCACCCAAAAGACAGTCAAACGAAATATAAAGTAAGCCCTAGCTTGCACATGAGAGCTTGAAGGGGTTCATGGCAGTTGAATCGGGCAGTACAAGCTGAACAACTCCAGTGACAACATCCACTTTTTTTCTTTGAAGACCGGATTGACTTTAGTTGGAGCCTGCAACAACTGGCTTTTCAGAGAACTTCAGCCTTGTGTTTGTTTGTTTGTTTGTTTGTTTGCGTGTTTTGTGTGTTTTGTGTGTTTGTTTGCTTCTCGTATATTTTTTGGTTTGCTTTTGGTTCTGGCAGGACGCCCTGCACTGCCTGCGCTGCTTCCGGGACCTCTGCCTGGGCGTCTCGGGTCACTTCGTGGGGCGCATGGCGCGGGAGGGGCTGACGGAGCGGGTCTTCGCTGGCGGCAAGGCCTGGAACCGCGGGGCCTCGGTTCCACCCAAGCCGAGGGGCGGCCGAAAGAGCGGTCGAAGCCCTCAAAGGGAAGGTTGGAACCTGAAGGAACTCTTTCGAACTTGATTGGTGGTTCAAAGGAGGTGTTCTAAATGGTTTGAAGGCGTTGGATCGCCAGGAGCACGGGCTCTGCGGCTGCGGCCGCTGGGTGCTGCGAAGCCACGCCAAGGCCCACCGCTGCGATGCCCGGGCCCAAGTTACTCGCGCAGGCGGGCGTGCGCCAAATGGTTCTTGCTAGCTTCGGTTTTGGCGACCCAAAATAAGTATGCATTTGCATAATTGGAGGTTGGTGGAGGTCGTTTCGAACCGTTGAGAAAATGCAGTGGCCAATGGTTTTGGGTAGAAAGCATGCTGGGTGCTTTGGTTACGATTTGAGTCGATCCCCGAAGGCCCAACGATCAATAGTCGCTCCGTTTCCGAACTTCAGACAAGTGGGACTTGGCCTATCCGTCAGTTTCGATAAGGTGCTCAGAGCCTTCAAAGGATCAGGGGTCGGGTCGAAGATCGGTGACGGGCTTCTCAAAGTTCCCCTTCCGCCAGATTTCTTCGTTTGATCTGGACCAACCCTCTCCCGACCCCAGACCAATCGGGGGTTTGCGCTTGGTTCAGTGCTGGGCATTCTTTTCAAGCGGTGCCTCTGCTGGATTTCCATTTCAGGTGGGCAAGCCACACGCTCGCCTCAAGCTCTTCGCGGAGCGCACGGCGGGCTTGGGCCTCGTGGCAAAGTTCCGGCACCGCCTCGACTCGGTGGAGCTGGTGCTGGAGGCGTCCTTGGAGTCGGCCCTTCAGGCCGGGAAGCATGGGAGGTGGGGGAACGAGCGCATTCTTTTGTGGTGTTTTATGCCAAGGCGGTGAAAGCAAGGGGGGCGAAGGCAAAAAGACCATGTTTGTTTTTCTTCCATAGACACCAATGGCTTTTCATCCACTGGACCAACATGTTTTCCCATTTTGGAGGCAACTTTCGGCCGCACGCGGCAGGCCCTGCTGTGGCCGGATCTGTGGTCTCCGCTGGTGACCTGCAGCTGGCGCCTGACGCGCTGCTCTACCGAGGCGGGCCATGGTGGGGAGAAGGTGGGGGGGGGTCAATCAATTGGACGCAGTCAGTAGCAAAAGCTCCCAAGAGTGGATCAGGGATCGCTTGCCCGAAGATCGGGAGGGTCACAGATGCGCATACACTTTTCTCCGCGCCGAATCGCAAGCAAGGGCTCATCGCAACCCAAAGTTCGGGTTTTTGACTACCCCAAGGTAGACTTAAAGCCCAGACGATTCCCTTGGGCACTCAACTACTAAGTTAAGTCCACTTGAGTCACAATCAAAACCCGCGTAAGTGAAGCTTAGTAAGGGACAGTCCCAGCCATAAATCGCTTGCGGCCACCTTCTTAATTCTTTCCATGGTTCTGGGTCGACCATGTTTAATACCAGGTTTTGATCATGGCTCACTTTGCCAAAAACCGGTGCACCCCCCGGACGCACGCGCGCGAGCGAGCGCTCAACTGAGGCCTCGGTTTGGGTGCCGCGGCTGCGGGCGCCCTGCTGCGAGAAGGTGCCGCAGCAGAGCTTCCTCAGCTCCGCGCAGCAGCTTGGAGGAACTCCCGCGGGTCTTGGAGTTGGGTTTTAGGAGACGTGGTCCTTGTGGTTTTGACATTGGCTTGTGGAGTTCCAGTTTCCATTTAGGTGTTCTTGTGGTTGAGGCGACTATTTCGCTGTTGCTGCGGTGGCTGTTCTAGTTGTGGTGGGCGTGGCTGCTGCCGTGACCACAGGCTGTGACGTTGCTGTTGCAGTTGTCAGATCTGCTTGATGTTGAGTGCCTCGAACTCCAGTCTGGTACGATACCTCAGAGGCGGCGTGAAAAAAAACTTTTGTCACCGTGCGCACTCCGGGTAGGTCCACAGTCCTTTGTGTCATGGTGGCGCACCTGTCAGGGGCGGGAGCACACATTCTTGGATGGGCGGTTCCTTGAGGGGGTGTTGTTAGTGAAAAATCAACGCACCCTGGGTCGAAGTAGGCTGGCTGTAGTCGCATTTTGGACTGCCATTTGTTGCATGCGGGATGGAGCGGCAAGACCAGGTCAGATACTAGTCTTCTTGAGTTTCATGACAGAACCTGGACCTGCTGCTCCACTGTTTTTGCTCCCACGTACGGATCTTGCAGCGGGCTGATATAGTTCGGTGCGGGCACCTTCAAAACGCCACTACATCTTGGCTCGGCCTTCCGACCGATGGTTTGCTGCGAAGGCCAGCTGTATTGTCGCGTGCAACGCCAGCTTGCAGGTGTTCTAGCCAGTGGGCTCTGAGCCCTGGGAGTCTGGCCATCCAAACAAACCGAGGGAAGACTCCGTTTCCTGCCTCGCAGCATTGCGTTTCGTGGCCGGGCGCCGAATTCGGCTCCTTCGGCGACTTCGGAAGTCGGCGAATTCGGCCGAGGCTGGTGCTGCTGGGCTGGATGCGGGGCCGCGAGGGGACGCCGGGCTTCGGCTCGCGGCAGGTCTTTCGGGAGGACCTCTGCGAGGCGGCGAGACCGGAGGGGTATCGCCCGGGCTCCCGGGGGCTCGCGGGTGTGGCTCAAGATAGGTGAAACCAACCAACATGGCCAGTTTCTTTTTTGGTTTCCCTTTGAAACTCACCCCAAAATGGGGGTTGTCCATTTTGGGACACATGCATATGGGGGTTGATCAATCTTCCATGGAGGGCCCCCGAAAATGACCAAGGGCAACTTTTCCCATTTAGTGGGAAATATCATGTTTTTTGTTGTTTTCCCCAATAGGTCATCCCATGAAAAGGATCTTTTGATCAACCCGCATATCTTAACAGAACTCGCTACACATCAAAGCAAGCGAGCCTTCGGTTTCGGTTTCGGGTTTATTTCGCGAGTCCTTCGGTTTGGTTGCGGGTGTGATATTCGCAGAGTTTTGGTGCAGTGCTCGGTTCTTTTTGGTTCTGGAGGCCAGAGACTGCATCGCCTTCCTATAGTCTTCCCGCCTTCCAGTAGTCTTCGAGGTAACATGCATTTTCCTGGGGCTGCAAAATGCATGTTTCTTACCGGCCCAACCCAGCATCTGCAACAGATTTCCGTGAAAACAAGGCTGACGATGAGAGCATCTAGGCTCGAGGTGCTAAAATGCACTTGCCAAGGGCAGCAAATCCATTTGGTACCTGTCGGCCCGGTAGTTTTCCCATAGTCTTCGGGTAGTCTTCTTCGAGGTGTCAAATGTATTTTTCCCAAAGCAGCAAAATGCCTTGTTGTAGCTGTCGGCCTCCGGTAGTCCTCTCGCAGTCAAGGTGAGGTTCTGGCACCCCTGCAAATTCTTGTATTTCTGATTTTGAGAGGAGCCAGTTGATTGTTCGGTGGTGTGATCGACTTGAGCGTACGTGAATGTGTGCTTTTGCATCTACAAACATTCATCAGGTCGTGCATTGGTGTCATTACAGAGGCCGATCCTAGGCACCCAACGCTTTCGTGTCGCCAGACCGACCTTGCCCTGGAGCTGTTGATCGAGCGTGACTTCCGCTCTGCAAGGGGAGGCGGGTTTGGGGCTTTCAGGGAGCGGCCGCTGGCGGTGCCAGTTGGTTTGAGCTTGATGTGGGCTTCGACATGTGTGAATCTAGTTCTTCGCGCTTTGCGTGGCGCTGAGTCAGCGCAATCCTTTTGCGCAATCTGAGTATGCGAGCAGACAACAGCAACCCAGCGGCAGCCAAGTGGAGAAGCTTTCACCGTGCTGCCAATAGGCAGCAGAGGATTCCGTAAGACAAGTGACCAACGTCGGGAAATCCACTGGCACCTAGGCAAGCAGGCCGTGTCCAGGACAAAATCCCAAGGAGGCTCAGCCGGCAATGTGACCAAGTCAGTCCAACTATCTAGGTGCGGGTCCAAAGGAGAAAAATGACTCCAGCATGGGCGGTGTGCGAAAACGGGCCCGAATTGGACAAACGGATGAGTATAATTAATGCAAGATAAAGCAACGTGTTTTCGCTTCGGCCACGAAAGCGTGGTCGTCACGATGGTATCCCCCCCACACCCCCCAAACCAGCAGGACCATCCGACACAAACCGAATAAACATAAAAGCAGGACAAACATCGTCACGGCCATCTATGGCGCCTGTTCCAAGTACCTTGCAGCAGTCGCTCGTGGCTGAGGGTTTGGCTTGGGATTTCGCTTGCCAGGATTGATCCTCGAGCCCGGACCAGGCGCGATCTTTGTATCAACAGATGCTCCCCGCACTTTGAATGACACCGTCGCTTGTTCACATCGCCGCGTATTTGCGTTCTCAGCAGTGATTGTGCATACAATTAGGCGCTGGATCACCCCAATTTAAGTGCGTTGCCGTTATCCTCTTTTCCCTAAGTGCATCAAACGGGGCATTTTATTAACTTTTCCCTTTTGCAACTCGGGATGAGCGCCAAGTTTAGGCTGAAGCATCAGGCTCCCTCAATTGAAAGAAGCATTCCTTTGGCTGCTTTGCACATAGCGTACACGGACGGGTTTAGAGACGTGGTTCTTGGATGTTGTTCGGATGAAAAGCGATGAAAAGCCAGCCCGTGCCCGAGCGCATGCTCGGCCGAAAGCTTTGGGTGAGGCTGGCAAATAGCCCCCGTCCTGACTGCCTTGGAAGATCGCTTCAAGCGCAGCGAGCGCAGAGGCGCATGGTTGGCGTGCGTGATTGGAGCCACATTGGATTCGAGTGGAGAGGTCCGACGGGAGAGAGAGCACGAAGCGATGCTCCAAATTGCCAGGTTTCCAGAACTCAGCCATTAGTGAGTTGGTGTTGATCAGCTTGACTTTTGAATTGGCAACCTCTTGTGCACCGACCACAACTCAGTGCCCGGACTTGTTTCTTGGACAGCCCCACCTTTTCCTGCTGCAGTCGGGAACAGGGTTTGCCTTGACTCATCACTTTTTGAGACCTGTAAACCCCAGCTTGGAAGAGTTCGACTTATACATGAAACCTTCGATCGATAGATAGATAAATAGATAAATAAATGAATTAAGTAAACCAAGAATAAATACATGAATATATAAAATGTCCCCAAATAAATGGATAATCAAGAGCCTGAGCATTGCTTGGTCCGTTTCTGTCGTCCAGGTCCTTGCCGGGTGGAGGCCCCCGGCATGCTGATCCTGGTCCAGCAGGACACCCTGCAAGACTGGCAAGCCACGCTGCCCAAGGCACTGGTGATCCCTGGCTATCAGAAGATGAGGCCGGGATCGCCAGAAGCAAGCGACGGGTAGAGAAAGGATCCTGGGGTGCTCACGTTTTTTGTTTTTTTGTGTGTGTCTTTTTTGTTGGTTTGCCTCGCCCTGCTTGTTTTTTTTGCTCAGAGACACTCCTAACCGCGAAACATGCGTCGAGCGAGGTTAGGAGCGTGTCTCGCTTTTTGCTGGGGTGACAGGGCAACACTGGCATGGCTGAAAGGCTTGCAGCCACCAGCTGGAATGGAAGAGACTAATTGAAGTGTCCTTGGAACAGTCGCTCTTGTATGGATAGATATATTTCGGCATATAGGCTATTCGCATTGTGGACGCAGCAATCAGAGGTCAGGGCAGCATTGCTTAGAACGTGCAAGGGATGTTCCAAAGCGAATTGGGATCGTCCAATGGGAATGGCTCTCTAGGCTGGGGACCCAACAAAACGGGATGGCCCAATGCCACTCTTGTGACACCCCAAGAACTGCCCCAGACCAAGGTTTGTCCGCTGGCGGAGGGGGGCTATTGTTTGGGCTTACTTGGCTGTATCGCAAGAACAAGCTTTCCCAACCCCCAGTTAGGAAACAAGAAAGCTGCGGCGCGGGTTGCTAGCACCCATTTGGAGCACCAACCCCAAGGCTCACCCGAGCCTCACCCGTTTGGAAGGGCCCTGACGGTGGCCGACGTGCTGGCGGCGGAGGTGGTGCTGGCGCCGGTACAGCTGTTCAGCTCGGAGGAGGGGGATGAATCTGCCGCGCGTGTGTCGTACGCTCGAAGTTTGCTTCAGACTTGTCCCCGTGCGTTGAATCCGGCTCAGCCCTTGTCTCCCAGACTTGCTGTACTTTTTGCATGCAAGAAATGACCTGCCCCCAAGTGGCCCAGGCCTACCAGCGCCATTTCGACCTCCTCTCCAAGCCTGGGCTGCAGGTCTTCGATGCGCCGGGTGCGGAGCCTGAGCCACCAGAGCAGGAGGCGCCGGAGGACAGGTGACGGATGGCTATGGCTCAAAAATGGGGCCGGAGGTGGGGGGTGCAGGGTGGGGGTGGGGAGGTGGGGGCGGGGGGGGGGGTCCCAGTTTGTTTGAAGAAACAAAAGCTGCGGTTCTTGCCTTCTCATTCGAGCAGGAAAAGATGGGGGCGAACCGAACGCCACAACCAGTGGGGAAACAGCTGGCCAAGGGCTTTCTCATTCCCTGGACGTCGAAATTCGGTGGGGATTCATATGTCATATGTTCTAGTGGATGGACCTTCGCCTTTGAAGCTGTTGCTGAGGACAAATTCCGCAATCCCACAGTATGCGTGCAAAGGTGGCATCCTTGCGTTACCATAGCTTCAGCTTTCACTTGTCAGGCGCTCCACCCTGTTTTGCGATTTCGGACTGATAATACGCTCTTCGCATCGCAAATATGCGTGGCTGACACGGATAGTTTCTCGAAGGCGGAAGAAGGTTGGGAGTAGCAACTTGCCCAGGGTTCTCAGAATTTGGGAAGCTTTCCAAAATGGTTGAACCGTTTGGGGGCAGATCTCAGGAGCTGAGCTGCGGACTGGCGGTGGAGCTGCAGGGCCTTGTGGCGAAAGCCGAGCTCAATGGCCGCCAGGTGTCTCCGCGCGGACTGGGTGGGGGGCCGGGAGTGACCCATCCGGGGGGGGCTTCCGCGGGAGGTTGGGACCCATCCGGGGGAGTGGAGGGGGGGGTTGTTTGCTTCGTCTGGAGCCGTGTTTGGTTGGGGGGCGACCAAAGGAAGCGAACCATGTCGGACATGGCGGGAGTGGGAGGATTTGGCCATGTGAGGGAGAATATGTTCAGGAAGGTTGGCGGTTGGCGGACACGAGTGTGAATGACATCCACCAAAGGGTCCCTAGTTAAATTTGGCGATTTGAGATGTGTTGCTTGCGCCATTTTTTGGTACCGGTGGATGTGCCGTGCAAACAGATATTTCTAGCTATGTGCTAATGTGCATGCAAGTTTAGTACGCAGCACACGGTGAGCTTCTCATGCAGTGAAGGACTAGACCTCAGGCAACATCAAGTCGCACCTCAGGGAACACTCGGTCAACCTGCCGCTCCATGATCCAGATAGGTCCATTCGAGAACACCCCATCCACCTGTCCATTGTTTTTCGGAAATCTGCGCAACACACCCAACGTTGTCCTTCTTCAAGGGCGAAGAGCAATTCTGCAGGCTTGGTGAACCTTTTGTTTTGTCAAGGTGATTAGGCAACGTCCTGGTGGCACCTCTGTCTGGTTGTCACGGGCTCTTTTGTTTGCTTTTCGTCTACTCGAAAGCACCATTTCTCGAAAATCACCGGCGTTCAAAAAGCAGGGTGCCGTGAGGGCGCTGCTTCCTGAAAGCGTGTTGTCTGACTCTGACAAGACGGAGTAGTATATTGTCAACACGTAAATGCATACATGCATTCATGCATCCAGAGAGACATACCGACATATAGACAGTCGGACATACGGACATAGAGACAGACACACATACAGACATGCATACCGTACGTACGTACATACGTTCGCGCACTCATACATGCATGAATACACACACAGACATAGACATAGACACAGACATAGACATAGACATAGACATTGACATAGACATAGACATACACTACTACTTATGCTGCTCATACTTACGCGGACACACAGGCACATATTATATATATGTATATATATATATATATGCAAATACAACTGATATGCGTACACATAGTACATGTCTCCTCATGCATGCACATATGAATGTATCCATTCGCAAACTTATCTCTATCTCTCTCTAAGGAACTGTAGCTTATACGTATCTGCGCAGGTTCACATTCAAAGCTCTGAAGTATGACAGGCATGTCTGCTTTCGCAGAAAGACTGGAGTCGTTATTTTTATATTTTTCCTGGTTCTTGTGCAGCGTTGACTGCCTCACTCGTCCGAATCAGGGGAGATACCTTTGGCCCCCCACCTTGCCTGGTAGACCTAAACGTCCGAACGCCAGGGCCGTTTGGTGGAGTGGCAGCAGGAGAAGGGACGCTGGTCGGTGCTGCTGCAGAAGCGCAAGCGCCAGGAGGAGGTTGGGCGTGTGGATTTGGAGGGAACCAGCAAAGCGATCCTGTGAGCAGGAGCGGGTCGTATTTCATTTCAGTCCTTTGTTTCGCTTTAACACATCCCCAAGAAGCCTCAACAAACGACACGCCCCTATGTGAAAGCGAGAAGAATCAGCTTTTGCGACTTGAATGGCTTTCATTTTATAAGGGAAGCCAGAAAGACATCAAACACTTTCCAGTTTCGATGCGAACGCTGGCATTGCCAGTAGATTCTGTAGCGTTGAAGGCTGAGTTGACATGCAACGGCTGTGGTTTGTTGCTGCGGGCATAACTGAGATTGTCCGGTCGCAGAAAGTTGGGCAAGGTTTCTCCGGGAGGAAGCCGACACGCGACCAAAATGTGGTTTTCTTACGGACGCAAAAAGCGACCAGCCACACTTGCAACATGACAAGCACGGGAGGGCCAACTGGAGCTCGGTCCTGCAAGCTTGGCCTGACACGCAGAGTCACCTCGCAGCCTGCACCCGTCGCCCGAGTCAAGTGCGTAAGCCTTATAGTGCTATGATATTGTAGCATGTTTCTCCGTCTTCTTCCATTCTCAGAACGAGTGATTGCCACATCCTTCACTATTGAAAGTTCTTGACATTGTGGGTACATGGAATTTGGGGTGCTTGTGCCTGGCCTGCATCTTTTGCCAGGCTTTGGTCAACGTTCGACCTGGCAATCTAAAGGTGCTGCGCAAAGGACTGGGGATGTCGCGTCGACGGAGTCGTGCACTGGGTGAATGATCCCTCCCAAGCGCACGCATCCTCAGCTGACGGGACCAGTGCAAGCCAAATATGTCAGGACCAGGATGGGGTTTGGCCTTCTGTGAGTTTTGGGCCAAAGCTGAATCAAAGGGTCGGACGCGTTCGGACCATGAAATGTGTCCAAGCCTGCAAGGCTCCAACTCGGAGAATGTTTTAATTTGGAGCCCAAAGAGGTTAGAGAGGTTTAGGATGCTCAGCTTCCGGGTTTTCCGGGGCGGGAAGGGATTTCGCCTTTTCCAAGTGCCAACGGGTCAGCAACCCAGGACCACGTCCGCGAAGAGGCCGGCGTACACCTGGCCAGCCAAAGGCGGATTTCGGACATGCTGGGCCAGCTGGGTCTGTGTTTTGGGAGTTGGCACTCCCGGCTTTGCCTTGGCTTCAAGGGAAACCAACAGCGTCAGTACCATTTTTGTGGTCCAAGTCGCTATCTGGACACAAACTGGTAGTCTTTCAGGAAGCAAATGACACAACAAGCAAATGAGCAACTGCATTTGCTTTCGCAGCCAGAGAGATTCTTGCTCATTTTTTGCTCCTTTTGGGCTTGGGTTTTGTGCTTTAAATAGATGGCCCTGGTTACCTGGTGGTTTAATCATACCAGGGCCAACTATTTCCCCTAAAAGGACACCTATGATCGGGAGGGTTCCTGGGCTTTTTGTTGGCTTTGCCGGTTGACCCACAGCCTACAGAGTTTTGTGTTTTTGTTTGAACATGAGGGAAGCTGTGCAGACATCAAGATGGCTTAGCGAGCATGTTGCGTCCGCAGTTTCGGTTCTCACGCCTGACATGTTTGCTTGTGGGGTCTGTGAGTCAGGCAGCTTTTGATTGGTGTGGACTTAGGATCCACCATTTACTGAGGTTTGTTTGATTGAAGGGTGTGCCTTTGCTCACGCTGAGTCAGAGACCTGGATTTGTGGCCGGGCTATGGCAAGAGGCAGAGCTCAGGTTGAGGTTGGCCTTTCCACACAACCAAATGGTAATCAGTTTACATATTTTTGCAAGAGTGCAAGTGGAAACCCTGCAGGCAGACGTCTGCCCAACCAATTTCCACTCCACAAACAAGACCCAAGAAAGCTGAATCCTTGGAATACATCCCGTTTGTCCGTGGGAGTTGTAGGCAACATGGCCCGTCCTTGTTTGCTCGCATGTTCCCTTTCATTCGCGCGGTTTGCTGGACAGGTGTCAAGATACTACTTGGAGCTACGGGCGCGGGAGGACTATATGGCACAGCGCCAGGCGGGGGAATCTCCTCCCCCCCCGCCCCATGGGTGGTTTCCTTTCAGTTTCCTTTAAGGGAATTCTTTCGAAAAAGACAGACCTTTTTTGGGAATGCATCTAGTTGCCCGCGAACGTATGGCAGGGTGGGGGTGTATATTATATTGCCATGTTTGTCACGGGAGGCAAATGGTTTTCAACATTTTCTAAAATGATGGCATCCCCTAACTTTCCCGTTCAATCGCAGCGCCCTGGTCTCGAGCAGACTTCGAGAATGCGACATCGAATCGAGGTGGATCTGGACCGCTCCGTGCTGCGGCTCCTGCGGCAGGCGGGAAGGGGGGTCGATTGTGGGAGAGGATTCTTGGAGAATGTCAACTTGGGATGAATCCGCCATGGGGCCACTTTTTGAGAACTACCTCAAGATTCAATTGGATCGGAGGACTCTATCGAGACCCCAGGTTGACATGTTGAGCTGCCAAGCATTCCTCTACTTATCCCTGTCGCTTCCCAGAAATGTGGTCCCAAACTTGCTGTTGCCTGTTGCCACAGTGTTCCGAGATCTTGGTTAGCATGGCAGCGCGGAAGCTGTATGTGTGGAGTACCCATTTCCCAGGCATCCTGCTTTGGGCAATGTCCAGGAGGGGCATCAACCCGAATGGGGGATCAACCCGAATTCACGTAGCTCCGCTTTGCCAGGGTGCTACTGCGGAGGACTGGAGCGCTTGTGCTTGCGGCGTGGGGTTGACCCGGTCGGCTAAAGGAATCTGATCATTGGTGTTCATTTCCGTTTGATAAGAAGGCGAGCCAGGCATACGAAAGCAAACGCTTCGAACCTTCGCCGGCACAGTTATTTTCAGTGCCCCGTGACGTGAAATTAAATTTGTGCCTTTTGCTTTACCATGCCTCGCGTTGGAAACAGTGGTCCTTGCAAGAGGGCGCAGCGTCTCTGAACCAACTCACATTTTCCGAATTGGGCATGGGTCAAAATTAAGCCACCACCGCAGGCTTTCGTCCATGTTTCCATTTCCCCGGGCAAGCCATTTGTGTGTGGGTCAAAAATGCGTACCCAAAATGGAGCCCTTGTAAAGGGAAGCAAAGACTAAAACCTGCGGTCCCCTTGTGGTTGTATTTTGACCCATACTCATTTGGGGTTGGCCTATTTTTGACCCACCGCCAATTCATGCAGCTTCGCGTTTCGCGAGGAGATGCCGGAGTTGGCGCATGGCACAGGGCTGAGGTTTGGGCAAGCTGAGGGCGGGTCCAAAGGAACAACAATGTGTTTTGTTTTGGGGTTTGTTCTTTTTTGCTGGGGGGGTGTTTGATCAATCCATCATTTTCTTCTCCGGTGGGTGAAGAGTTCGCACCGCAGGGTGTGATGGACAAATATCAGAGACACAGGCTTGAGCAAGTGGGTGTGTGTTTTTTGAGGGTACTCTTTTCAGATTGGTTCAAGGGGACACTAGGAATCCACAATTTGTTGGGCCCCCCTATTTTGACACACGAAACCAGACACGGGGCAGCGAGTGATGAGGCGGAGCAGTGCTTGAGATGTTTCGCTTCAACCGCCTGGTGCTGGACGATTGCCACCTCCTTGCAAGGCTTTGGGCTTTCAGCTTTCGCAATCGCAGATGCGAGACATGAGGGGAACTTGGACTTAGAACAGGGCACATGGCCATTTTCAAGGGGCGTGACCTTTAGAGGGATGAATCAGTGGGGATTGGTATCTCAAAAAAGGCGATTCTCCACCACCACAGGGACCAAGTGGCGCAGCCTGGGAAGCTTGGACTTGCAACTGCACCTGAGGACTTGGTGCCGAAGATCAGTTTTCTGGACTGGCCATTTCTTTTCAAAACTGCATTTTCCTAGATGCGCAGAGCAGCTGTCCGAGTGCCTACGGGTTACATTTGACCAGGGGCCAGCAGATGGCACGCCAATCACTGAGACTCGTTTCGACATGGCCAGATAAAGTCAATGCATGTTGTGAAGGGCTTGCAGTCTGGGCCCAGCATTTTGGCTGATGGTAGACTTTTGATGGAATGGCTTTTCCAAGACATGCAGAACGTGAAGCGGACATGCATGGAATCCTGGTTTGATCCTAGCCATCCGGAACACAAACGCAAACGAAACCTCACAGCGACAACCCCATGGCTGTGCACTTCCTTTGGGCTTCTTTTTCAAATGCCACAGAAGGATGGGACGGCTTTAGATTCACATTTCCTAAAATTCACAGTGATGTTGGGTTTTTAGCCCTACACATATGGGTCAAAATTTGCAAGCCTTTGACAAAAACAGGACACTCTTGCCACTCCGTAGTTTTGACGACGTCTTCCGTCGTTCCTATCCAAGGAACGCCACAAGTTTGCTGGAGCTTGACAAATTCAGCCCGCCTTCTGCTCCATTTACTCTTGGTCTATTTGGGTGTGTCTTTTTTGGTTTGGATCCCCCGAAATGGGTGGTTTTCCTGTTGGTTTCCCTATTAAACCAACCAGAAAGGGTACCCTCAAAACCAGGACTTTGGCCTTTTAGTGTTTAGTGGTTTTCACTTGACCCACTTAAAAGTGAGTCACTTTTTGCGGGGGTAGCGTAGCCCATTTCGCCTCCTTGCCTTTTTCGATCTCCCGGCGGTTTCCCATGACTTGGCTCTCCGCCTTGCAGGGATCTGGTGCAGATCTGCGCAGCCAAAGGGGTGGAACCTAGGGCGCAGTACCTGGCGAAGGCCCGCCCGAAGTTCGTTTAGATCGCCAAGCCGTTAAGCGCCTTAACCCAAAATGGGTACTCTCCCGCCAGCTAACATGGGGTGCACAGACCCCTGTAAGACGACTTTCCTCTTGGTTAGTTGGCCTTTTTGCACTTCCATGTTAGTTGGTGGGAGGGTATGAATCTGAATTAGGGACTCGACCTGTTGGACATCATTTAGGTCGGGATTTATGTCCACCAATCACTTTGCAGGAGGGTTCCCAAATACAACTCATGGCCAAATGGGTAGCATGCGGAGAAGAGACAAACATGCACATCCACACCCACACAGATCATTGCAAGGACTGCTCGCTCCGCTCGGTTTGGGCTTTTGAAATCAAAGCTGTGCCTAGCAATGTTGGAACTGTGTGTCGTGTCCTGGTGCAAGTGTTGGAGCAACCGGACACAGAAAGTCACATGGGTTTGGGGCTTGTGTGAAATAGAGCTTGGGGCCGAAACGAAGAAACATCTTTCGCAATTTCGGCTTGCTTCGAGGGTTTGGCTGAAACTCTTTCGGGCAGAGCCCGGTTGGGGCCTCGCCCGCGCGCCCGTGACCCATTTTTCTAGGGGTTGATTCCCCATTCTTTAGCGTTCTTTTCAACCACCGGGTCCGTTTCGCCCGGTTTTTGGGTGGTTTAGAAAGATTCGGATGCCTTGTAGAACGGAAATGGAGGGTAGCCCTTGAATTTCCGGATCGCCGAGGTGGCGCCTTTGTACGCGGTGCTCGCCATCGGGGCCCACGCGCGTTGGGGCATCACTCCGGGGTTGCTCGGCCATGGCCTTCGGGAAACCAGTGGTTTTCAACGCGGTTTTGACTCGCTTTCTGGCGGAGGTTTAGTGGTGGGAGCATCTTGTTCCATTTTTTCCCAGCTGAAAGCTAAGGGGTCTCAGGCCAGAGAAGGTTTGGGGGTGCCTCGGAGCTCTGGAGTCAGGTTCGAGCAAGGTTCCGGAGGTTCGGGGGTGGTCTGGCGCAGGCCAGGTGTAAGGTTCAAGGAAGGTTCCGGAGGTTCCGGGATGGTTTGGTGCAGGTCAGGTGTAAAGTTCAAGCAAGGTTTTGGAGGTTCCGGGGTTGTCCGGTGCAGGCCAGGTGTAAGGTTCAAGGAAGGTTCCGGAGGTTCCGGGTTGGTCCGGTGCAGGCCAGGTGTAAGGTTCAAGGAAGGTTCCTGAGGTTTCGGGTTGGTCCGGTGCAGGCCAGGTGTAAGGTTCAAGGAAGGTTCCGGAGTGGTGCGGTGCTGGTCCGGTGCAGGCCAGGTGTAAGGTTCAAGGAAGGTTCCGGAGTGGTGCGGTGCTGGTCCGGTGCAGGCCAGGTGTAAGGTTCAAGGAAGGTTCCGGAGGTTTCGGGTTGGTCCGGTGCAGGCCAGGTGTAAGGTTCAAGGAAGGTTCCGGAGTGGTGCGGTGCTGGTCCGGTGCAGGCCAGGTGTAAGGTTCAAGGAAGGTTCCGGAGTGGTGCGGTGCTGGTCCGGTGCAGGCCAGGTGTAAGGTTCAAGGAAGGTTCCGGAGGTTCCGGGTTGGTCCGGTGCAGGCCAGGTGTAAGGTTCAAGGAAGGTTCCGGAGTGGTGCGGTGCTGGTCCGGTGCAGGTCAGGTGTAAGGTTCAAGGAAGGTTCCGGAGGTTCCGGGGTGCTCTGGTGCAGGTCAGGTGTAAAGTTCAAGCAAGGTTTTGGAGGTTCCTGGGTGGTCTGGTGCAGGCCAGGTGCAAGGTGAAGAACTGAGGGCTGAGACGCAACGAGCAGACAAATCCTAGACCTTCAGCGCCTAGCTGTTGGGGATACCAGCTGAGCGCATTTTTTTCGGTGTCCCTTGCGGTGGGAGGATCTCCTGGTAGAACTGTTGCCATGTGCCTCTGGGTTTCTAGGGGATGTTGGGGACTGCTGCAAAATGACGGCATGGGTTACCTCCCGTTTTGGATGGCTCTTTGAATGAAGCCTAAGCGAGCAGAGTGTTTTGTTCAACGACATCTCTGATCAAGACATATCCCAGGTGACAGCCTTGCCACAAAAGCCGTAGTTTTCCTCGTCAGCCATACCCCATGAGATAATAGACATGGACCTCTGAATGCACTTAGATACATATTAGTACAGCCACACACACAGACATGAAACACATACGTCCGAATTTCCATGACTGCTTACCCAAGTCATGGGCAAGCCTCCGTTTTTGGCACGTGTGGGGGCGCGCAGCTTCACTCAGAGTTGGCTCACATCTCTTTTGCATCCGCAGTTGGAGATGTAAGTTTCCCATCATTTGCTGCGTCTTGTGTAAATCACAGACGGATTCGCCCTGCAAGCAAAACAGATTCGATCAGTGACTGGATTCGGTCCTGGACTTTTGTGGAGTTTCAGTTTCCTTCTGCGGCAGAGGTTCACCAAGGGTGAGGACGAGGTGGCGCCGAGCCTTGGCAAGGGAGCAGCGCTTTTCCTGTCTGGTCTGGGACTCATAAAGCTTCTGATTTATTGGGTCGAGATCTGCTGAGACCTACCATGTTTCTCTTTCAGTACCTGCAATACATGAGATGCCCTGTCGTGCATCGACTAGTATTGATATATCTAGAGCTGGAAGGATTTGAATCTTCAACCTCCACCTCCCCTGACGGACGGGTAGCAAGCTGCCATTGCGCCACAGCTCCGCGCATCACCATTGTGCCGTTTTGGAACCCCAGTTTCATTACACTGGAGCACGTTTGTATTGCTATGAAATCCGTTGCAAGCGAACTCGCCTCCCCTAGGATCGCCTCGCTGCTGGGCGTCCAGATTCCTTGGGGCGATCATAGCGAGGTGGGGACCTGATGAATCGTCAGCTTTTGAACATGGAAAGCGGCTCGAGGATGGCTTTCGGTTTGCTGGTGGCTTTTAGGTCGTTTTGCTGGTTTCCATCCACTCACGGCATCATTGCTATTTCTTTGTGCCTGGGTCCAGCTTGGCTGGATTTGGGTAGAGCCGCGCATGTTCTCATACCGTTTCACACCCTATACACAGCCGGTTTGCATACCATTTTTTGTTAGTACAGATCTGACAGTTCCGGTGTGCTATCAACTCTGAGCAATGATGCTGATTTGCACGCAGGGCATGCTGTTTGGCACTCAACAACTGGAGGCACATACAAAGTTGCAGCATGCACTCGTCCATGTCAAACTTTCCGGTGCCCATTGCCAAAGCAGACTCTAAGCATGTCTGGTAGCTGACATGCGATATCCTCTCCACTGAATGGGTCAGGTCAGATACAAGGTCAATTTGTCCCGAGCCCTTGTGGATATCTCAGGCGCAGCGATTTCTGGACACCTGGGCTGCTCAGATGGAGGACTACTTCCATTGGCCAGAGAGCAGAGGGGCCGCAGACATCAATCGGAGAGATCCGCTTTTCAGTGAATTTACTCTTCCCTTGATGGCTGCGAAAACCTTGGAGCCGGTTTTTGCCATGCAGTTCTCGAGAGGGCTAGACGGGCGAGTGGGGCAAGAAGCGAGGGAGATATACACCCTTTGTATATACCCGTGTACAGCCAAACATAATAACAGGTTGTTTGCTCATGTGGTATGTCTCAAATCAGGGAGCACATTGCCATCCAAAGGACAATGGGCCTGCTTTTATTGAACTCACGTTGGGCGTGGCGGAAAGAAGCATCGCCGAGCGCCGCTCGCAGCTCTGGTTCAAAGGGCATCGCAAGCCCACTGCCTGGCCACACATAGATCTGCCTGTGCACCATGCCTGGCACCCAGGAGCGCAGAGTCAGGAGGGACTTTTCAGCTAGCTCCAGATCTGCGGTTGCTTACATGGAACTTACCACAGGGTCCTGTTTAGAGGAACATGGTCTTCTAAAGCCCCTAGGCAGGTTCCATGTTAGTGGATGGGACTTGTGCTTTCGGTTGCTCTCTGAACCCACTCCAATGTGTGGTCATAGAGGGTTCGCTAAGGTTCAGCGGACTGTCACGCTGCCTCAGCCAGGGTGTGTCCGAAGCCTCAGAGAATTGGGTGAGTGGAAGGCAGTGAGTGACCGGGTGTCTCCGGTCTACGGTGAGCCCATCATTTTGGTTTGATCCAACGGGTTTTGCGAGTTGGCCTCCTGGGTTGGTTGAAGGTCCGATTCGGGTTCGATTGGTGGCACAAGCTGCCCCCCCCATTTGAATCTGCAGGGATCCCCAAACATGAACCTACAATCCTGTCCAAGATCGTGCACTTACTAGCTGGCGCACAGATCTCCAGGAAGGGATGGGGCTACACCTTGCAAGTCTCCCTGGTTCATGGCCTCTCAAGGAGACGAGGTTTCCCTTTCCCTTTCCGGGAAAGGGTGAACCATGGCACCTTGCCCCCATTCGGATGCTGAGGCGCCGCACGGCAGGCTCGCTCGCCAGACAGGCGCGGGAAGCTTTCCCACCTTTGGGCTGACAGTCATGGAGGGAGGTTTGTTGGCAAATCTCAGGCGTTTCTGCCGAACGAGGTTGAAAGGATGGCTGATCCCCTGACTTGGGAACGACGGCTTGATTGACCAGAACTGGCGTGTTTGCTGCATGTGAGAAGACGCCATTTGTGCAGGAGGGAGTGAATATGACAGGGGGGATGGATTTGTCTCATGATCGAGGAAAACCGCGAGCAGCCAAGCTTTCTTCTATCAGAGCAGCCAGTTTTAGATTGGCAAGCAAGGGACTGACTGCCTTTTCCGGCGCCTGATAGGCAAGACCATTGGCAGAGAAGAGACTACGACCACCTGTTTACAGCTAATATAGACGCCTACTAATTAACCAACCAACCAACCAAGCAATCTATCGCTTCTAAACCCACTCTCATTCCACCCCGACTCAAACCCGACCGAACCCAGCCCAACCATCAAGCCCCACTCAGCCCTCCACCAAGCCCGAAACGGGGCCAAGCCAAATCTATTCAAACCGAGCCAGGCCACAAGCTGCAACCCGCAACCCGCGCCAAACCCAAATCACAAGACCACCCTCCCACACCCCCGAGCCTGCCCAGCCACGTGGTCCTTGAGCGAGGCCGCGCAGCCGCGCGCGCCGGTGCTTCAGACGATGCCAAAGGTGTGGGCCCAGCCGGTGATGAGGCCGGTCTCTGCACTCGGGCGGGCAGCGTGTTATATTTGATCTGATGTGTTACTTGAAGAAACGGTCATGCGGAACCCGAAATGAATTGCTCAATTGTTTGATTGAAAGGGGCAAGTTCTGGTAAGTGCTTGAGTTGGTGCAAGGACAGCCGGAGGTGCACTGCAAGCCTGTGTGGCAACTGAAAGGGGTTGGAACCATTCATAGGGAACAGAAAACTCGCCAGCAGCTAGCAATGATTCTAAGGCACAGTGGCTCTACGGGGTTTGTTTCATTTTGTCAGCTCTGCAACTACTGTTTTCGACGATAATATACTGTTTATGACGAGGAGGGGAGAGGAGGACAGGAGAGGGATGAGTAGTTGAAGAACAACCAACAGAGAATAGAGCAGAAGAAAAGAAGAAGAAACAGACGAAAAAGAAGCAGGAGGAGAGGAAGAGCAATAAGGGAAGCAGGACGCGTAAGGAGCATAAATTCGATCAATGTTATGATGTGATGAATAGAGTAGCAAATGAGTGCAGAAAGACAAAGACACCAGTGCCATTTCTGATGTGGCGGATCCTGCAAGCACCACAGAGTCATATGTCATATGTGTAAGCCAGCCTTTATTACTTGACTGCTTACATCAGTGTGAAGATGGACAAGTACAGGGGACGAAACTAACATGGGGAACATCTGCCTACTTTCACCCAACTGTTTCCTCGAACTCGAGATTCTGCACTTCGATGTAGAGATATCCAGAGCTCCTTGCGGCACAGCCCATGTTTCCAGATACCTTGCGGGCTTCATGTGTAATTAGCCGCAAAGGGACTGTCACTACTTCGTCACTGCTTCAAGCATGCTTTGTGGTGCACTTGGATTTTCTGGATGGCTCCAACTGAGCCTTGCCTCTCCTTTTTTGGTTAGTCCGATCCCGAGCTTCAAATTCGCGGCAGGCCTTTCAGTGTGCTGGGCACCAACTACGCGCGGTACGTCACCCCGTGCCTCGCATTGAAATGGGGGCTGCCTCTGATTGGAGTCACGCCACAGCTGGGCCTCGGGATTTTCGGTCAACGGGAAGCTGCTCTCACGCTCCTTTTTGCCCAGGACCCCGCCAGCGCCGGTGCAGCCGGCGGTTCAGGCGGGCGCAGACTTCGTTCTGGCAGCTGATCCTTGCTGAATGGCCAAAAAGGGGGGTTTGTTTGGCGCAGGCAATCAAGGAATCCAACACCATGGCGCAGAAGGAAGCAGGCGCGAGTGATGCTCATGAGGGTACCCTTTGCCAAACATTTGCACCCCCTAAGTGACACACACACACACCCAAATGCGTCCCAGGTGCAGAGAATAGTTAGAAGCCTGAAAGCGTCCGGATTCAATCACGATGCACGACTCCTGCCTAGGCAGAGCGTAGGACAACCACTGTGTCCAGCAAATCAACATGTTTTTCAGACCGTCAACATGCTTTTAGGAAGGTACGAGAAGTCCCACGTTCCTCTGCAGGTAGCCCTTTTCTGGAGGTTTGCACAGAATGGGTAGACGTGACCGTGAAAGAGCACAGGATTGGTGGATGCCTGCAAGAGGGACTCCATGGTTTTTGAGGCTGGGCTCTTGACTCACTCATCAAGTCGGGGTTGGTGGAGGGGACCCAACTGACGGGTTCAATAATTTCAACCGTTCTGGCAGAACTGCGATTTGTTCCCCGAAATCACTCTTCATGATGAACCTGTTCATCAAGGAGGGGGTGGTTGGAAGCAGTGCAGGAGCCCCTTGTCGTTTTTTGGCTGGTTGAAATGGTCACTCAGAAGCCGATGGGATCGTGTCTGCTTCGCCACATGCGCCGTTTGTGTTTCACAGCGCTTGCTTGAAGCGATTCCAGTGCAGCCAGTGGGTTGGGCCGGCGATGGGCTTTCTCGTGGATCGCTGGGTGGACGCGGGAATTGGAGGGTCTCATGGGGAGCTTGACCCCACACCATGATATCCGGGACACCATTTGACTAGGTTACACTTTGTTTGTTTGAAGCAAGACTTTGGCAACCAGCAGATTGATCCAGTTGCCGAGCTCCTGGCAGCTTGTGAACGGCATCCTTGTTTGCAGAGCTTGTAATGTATGGCAGCCGGCCATTCATACTTTTTTGTTCTTTTAAATCAGACAACCGCAAAATGGCAGGTTTTCCCTTGGTTTCCATTTAAACCAGCCCGAAAAAAAGGAGTAGCCGCAAAAAAGGTCCGACCCAATTCTGCATAGCTTTGCAAACAAACTCAACGCAGGTGATGGTATTGACATGGTCTCACCACACTTCTCCGGCAGTGTCTCCAATGGGGCCTGTTTCACCTGGTGATCTTTGAACTCTTCAGGTCGGGGGGTCCTTCCTCGAACAGGTCCCCGAGTGGTGGCTTTCCGGGGCTTCTTGCGGCTTGGCTCTGAGATCGGCATCTCCTTTGTGGTGATGCACTATCAGTCGATCTTCATCGGCGTGATGCGCTGCCTCTTCCAGGTGGGGACGAGGGCTGTCGTTGGACGAAGGCTTGAGCCCGGTGTCTTGCCAAGGAAAACCATGGCGGTTGCGCAGTCCTCTTCTTTTTGCAGGTGAAATACAAAGTTGTTGGACCTGCGGTCCGCTTGTTTTCGTCCTCTTGTGTTTTTTGGTCTTCTTGGGATCACATGATTCGTGCTGGAGAAAGCAGAGGCAAGCAGAATGCTAGCAACAGCCCGAGCGGGAAAATGGAAGGTGGGATTCCCCGGACAGGCCCCAAAGTTGGGCACTCCAAGAAATCGGACTTGAGGCCTTCCGTCCGTTGCTGATCCTCTTCGTGTTCGGGCAGATCATCAAGGCCGGCTCGGGGCCAGGGGAATCGATTCCAAGGCGCTTCAGCGTCGATGCCCCAAGGAGTTGCTTGAGCCGAAGAAAGTGGGCATCAGCCCTAAGGAGTCTCAGGCAAGGGAGTCTTGCGCATGGCGCACAAACCTGCCAGGCGGTCTTCTTCATCTTTGGCGCTCCGATTTGGATGTCGTTCTACTCCATCTGGCTTTTTGAGGCTTGGGCGCAGATGTTGGGAGCACATTTTGTTTTGAGAGGCTGCTGCTTGGCAGCTTGGCTGGTTGTCTTGTTGGTCGCTGCTTGGCTGGCTAGCTGGTTGGTTGGTTGGCTGGTCCTCGTGGCATGGCTTGTTGTGCGCCTTTTGTGCAGGTCACCTACGGACTGGCGCAGTGCGCTATCTCATTCATCTTCATCAGCTACTCAGCTGACAGAGACAGACACCCTGCCATTTCAGGGTCCATTGTGATGTGTTTTTCAGCTCCAACTGCAAGACCCCCTTCATCTTGTCTGAAGGGGGGTTGCCGGTTGGTTGAGTCTACCTATCAGAGTTGGCCAGCTTTCCAGCTTTTGGTTTTGTTTGTTTTACAACCTGAACAGGACTTTTAAACTGCTGCTGGTGTGTGAGGTGCCGCAGCCACGAAGTAGAGCCATGCACCTATTGATCCGTTTGGCCAGCAAGGCGGCCTTGTGTCTATCGAATAGGCCGGGCTGCCGCCCATTGGAAGAATGCGTTGATCTGACGCTTACTGTTGGCAGCCTTGCCTCGGTTCGTATCGTGTCACTTGCCGTCAGTCAAACTTGCACGAAGTTCCCGCAAACCTTCAAGATTCATGGTGCGTATTCATGTTGTCCGCCCTCGCAAGTCAAGCTCGGTTCGCTGAAACGACTTACCCACACCTTGCAAGGATGTTACAGCTCTAGCTATGACAAGCTTGAAGGTTTTCCCGGCTCATTGCATGGAGTGTGAGCCGCCAGCTCACTGCACAACTGACGTGAAACGGCTGGTTTCTTGGGGTGCTTTTTATCATTTTATTTCTTTCGTTCTTTCTATCGATCTTTCTTCCTTTGTTTGAATGTTTCTTTCGATCTTTCTTGCCTTCTTTCTTTCCTTCTCTTTCTCTTTCTCTTTTTCTCTCTCAAGTTTGTGTTGTCCGGGACTGGTCAGAGCATGTTCGTTGTTTGGCTTGCCAACTCCTTGGTGGTGGGCGGAGGTTTCTTCTACAACAACCTCTCCTTTGCGCGCATGCGACCTGCCCTCACCCAGATGGTGCGACAGCAGAAGGAGCCCAGCCACGAGCAAGTGCTCTAGTGGGGATTTCCAGCAGGATTCTTTTGCAAATCATGACTAGTGCTCTGTTGGGTTGATCAATGCTCCGTTCCTCAGCAGCTTTTGAACACACATGTTTTGTTGAGCCGATTTTTTTTCGGCATCCTGTCTTTGAAAATGAGCCAAGCGTCGAGACTTGGCTCGACTCCCGTTGACGCCGTTGCGTGTTGCGTTGTCAGGTCATGAAGAGCCAGGCAAGGGCTCTTCATGGAGTATGCATACTGGCTGGGTGATTTGTAGACCTCATGGAACTAGGGAGAAATGTCCTCACCCATGGTGATTGCTCGTGGATCCCTACGTGAAGCCGTTTGCGGAGACTATTCTTGCGGCCGCCGCAAACTCATGGAAATGAACAGTGGCCGTGGACACAGTTCCCATCCAGTACAAATCTTGCTTCTGATCAGAGGTGATGTTGGCATTCCCTTTTAGACTCAGTCTGCCTCCCGGTGGGCAGACTTTCCCTTCTCCTTCGGCAGGAGAAGCTCGCTCGTGCTGCCCGTGCCCTGCTGTAAATGGCCCGGGGCCCAAGAAAGTCAGGGGATGCAGACGACGACCCTGTTTGCGGGTGTTTGGTAGCTGGCGTTCGTGTCATTTGCTGCAACCTTCGGTAGAACCACCTTTGCCCCAACATGGCAATCATCTTAACCATCCTCTCGGAAGTGGACAGGGACCATTTCCTTGAAACGAAGTTCAAAGCTTGTTAGGGAGCATGGCCATTTTGCCGAGGAGCCCTGCCATCGACGCCCGTTTTCCGTCACCGTTCCAGTTTTGACGAGGTCTCATGCGCTTGGTTTTGCCCTAAGCTTTGGCATGACTCGATGGATCCTTTCTGGTGGCTTACCGATGAGTTTGGATGCCGTTAGGCGAGAAGGCTTCAGCAAACTTCGGCGGGTCATTCTGGTAGGAACAGTCATGAGGAAACAACAAAGTAGCAGCGAGCAGAACCACTCCTTTGATTCTGGAATACTGAAACTCCAAAGTCCAGTCTGACAAATTAAGGGAAGCTGGTCACAGTGGTTGCTGCGTTGCGTCAACTGGAGCAGTGAGGGCAATATACATGGAGTTGCTTTTTGTGTTTGTTCGCTTCTGCGCCTCTGCCGAGGAGAGGCAGACATCAGCCGACTCGGAAGAAGCAGCACACTGAGCAGCGGAGTTGGTAGAAATTGCTTGCTATGGAGACGGTTGCTGTGCTGTTAAAACATGGGCGGATGGATCAGCTGCGAGTGGATCGTGACGCGGAAGACGGTAGTGCTGTCGTGAGGTTGTGTATTTTCATGTACTGAGTGATCAATCTGATCTCGGGGTGTCTCCTGCCGTTCCAGCCATCCTTCCTCGCCTGTTTGCCTGCAGGACACCGGCCTTTCCGGCAAGTCCAGCGTGGGCAAGGAGGCTTGGAGCTTTGCAGCTGGCACCTGTGGCGACCATGAAATCGGCGCGTGAATTTCACGCAGCAATTCCCGAGGCCTGGATTCAACAGGTGGATACATTGACAAACGCAGAGATCTTCGAAGGTGTCTCCACCAACAGAAATTCCTCAGGACGCTCGGCCCATTTTGGCCCAGGCGGATTGATTCCCGCTCCGGCAGAGTGCCATGGCCTTGAGTGGATTCGGGGCTCCGGTCCCGCCGCCTCGAGGGCGATGAGACCGGGGCGCGGCAAGCGGAAGAAGCCGAAGCGGGAGCCTGCGGAGGGAGCAGAGGTCCCGGATGCACCGCGGAGCCTGTTCTTCCTTAGCCATGCGTGGCTCGCCAGCCCGAAGCCGGTGCTGGCAATTGGCTTGGTGCTGGTGAACCTGGTACTGCTCTCTCGGAACGCGGGCCTTCTTGCGGCCAGAGCAGCTTGGACTGCAATTTGATGGAACTGGAACTGTTGGAGCTCTTGGACCAGAGGCTTGGACCGAGAGTTTTGGGATGGACACGGACCTTGGACATTCCTTCAGTTTCCGAGGAGGTGCAGCCAGCCCCGCAAGTCCCACGATTACGGCGCCCGGCGCCTCAAAGCGTGGTGCCCGGGCCGGCCGCGCCTCCACCCTTGTCACCCTCGGCGCGCCCGGCTTCCACGTCCGCGGCGCAGACCGGAGTGGTGGCCAAGCCGGCAGGAGCGGGTTTGTGTGTGTGTGTGTGTGTGTGTGTGCTGACTGACATGGGTATGGGTGAAAATTGAACCATCAGGGACCGCAGGTTTTATTTTAGTCCTTCTTTCCATTTAACAGGGTTCCATTTGTGGTACCTATTTTTGACCCGCAGCCACATGTCTTGCGTGAATATGGGTCGCAATCACTAGCGTGAATGGAGATGACTTGCGGTGGTTTTTGATTGAATTGTGCATGAGGCAGATTTCAGCTGCTCATTCTTTCACACAGGAGACGAGGATGCTAGCGGGCTCATCGCCGAGGCACTGCGACGCAACGGGAGCCACGTGGCCCTGTGGCTGAAAAGCGGGCAGGTTGGGTGCTCTGGGCAGCTGCTTGTATTGGGTGCCATGGAGTTATCAGGGAGGTATGGGTCACGTCTGAGACATTGTGATGTTGAATCAGCACCCTTTGCCAGCGGCTTATGGAACTTCTGCAGGAGGCTAAAGCAAAAGGCACCGACCCAAACAGTACGAGCCAATTTATTTCAACCAACCCGCAGCAATTTGGTCTCCACCGAAACGACGGAGTTCGCGCGTCCCGTTTGAGGTCCGGTTCCTGAGCCCCGCCTGGCGCCTGCCGTTGGCGATGCTGGCGAAGGGCCAGCAGCGGCCCTACGAGGACAAGTTCCAAGAGGTGAATCTCACCCACGGGCAGTACCAGGCGCACGAGAACGTGGTCTTCGTGTGCTTTGGCAAGGGGAGAGGGGAAAGGGGAAAAGGGGGAAGGGCACCTTGTGGCCCAAAAGGCGGGTGCAGGCAATTCTCCTCTCTGTCTCTCTGTTTTGTTTTCTTCTTTTTTTTTTTCTCTCTCTCTCTCTCTCTCTCTGTCCCTCTCTCTCTCTCTCTGTCCCTCTCTCTCTCTCTCTCTCTCTCTCCTCTCTCTCTCTCTCTCTTAACGTGGATGTGGAAAGGATGGCGTGACTGCACTTCTGACATGGCAGAGCTACCAAACCACATGGCAACAGCTTTTCAAGGTCGGCGTGCAGCGCGCACGAGATTCACAAGACGGACATCCCCTTTGAGGATTTCCTGCAGGAGAAGGCTGCCTACATGCGCATGGCTTGTCCGGCAGAGCGGGCGGCCCAGAACGTGGAGTCCAAGCGGGTGGTCATCTACATGAACCTCCGGGAGAGTGGCTACTTTGGCCATGCCATGGATAACGTGCTGCCCCGTGTGGCAGCGATCATGGATGGCGTCCTGAAAGGCGCGGGCTCCGTCGCTCGTTGGCAAGCGACAGGCCTGATCGGAGCCTCCGGACAGTGCATTCTGCAGCAACGCCGCAGCCCCGGTGCATCCTCAAATGGTTTTGGAATGCTCTTTGAGGTTCCCAACTTGAGACAAGTAGTTGGTGGTTGCAACATGACTCCAAATGGCTTTCAGGTCCTTTCCAAGACCTTTCCTTGTGTCAAATGACAACCCGCCACTTGCCAAGTGCCACTCGCCACTCGCCACAAGTGGCGTGCAGGGCACAGCTTGAGTCTGGTGCTGCCCCCGCTGGGCAAGCGCTCCATGAGCGCCAACACCCAGCTGCTGGGCCGGGCGCTGGGCATCGAGGTGCTGCAGCAGGAGGGGGGAAAGGGGGGGGGGCCGCCTGGGGTCAGGCGGAGGCAAGACAAGCCTCAGACGGTAGCACCACCCAGTTTAGAACCTATTTGAACGGGGATTGGGATGTTCACTGGGGGTACGGGATTTTGATTCGCCACATGGGTCTGGCTGAACATAGGGAAGCCGTTTTTTTGGGGCGGGTTTAGAGGCAGCCCAAAGAAAACAACCATTCGGAAGGGATCCGGATGTTGAGAAACACCCACATACGACATATGTATACTACGGTACAGGTTTTGATTGTGTTTTTGGGCATATAGAAGAAAAACACTGAGCTTGGTTGTAAAACAGAGATGTTCATCTAGTGTACCACTTCTGAACATATCACACAACATAGCAGCTGCCTGCTCATCCCTTTTGTCTCCAATGCATTTAGGGCTTTTGGCACGTGTGTAAGGCCGCAACGACTTGGGGTACGCTGGGCGGGGAGGGAGGGCCGGGCCAACATCATAAGCTGGATGATTGGATCCCAGATGTGACCACCCAAAACATATTTGGTTTTCAGTCATGATCCTTCGATCCCTTCAGATTTATAATTGCTGGTAAGTGCCTAAACAAATGAGTCATAAGTAAACAAAAAGATAAGCTCAGGTGATATCCCCAACAGCAGGCGGCGGGAACCTCCTGAACCGTTCTGGAAACCTTACACCTGCTGCACCAGACCACTCCGGAACCTCGGTGCTTGAACCGTACACCTGGCCTAGCCAGGAACCTCCGGAACCTTGCTTGAACCTGACTCCCCCGACCCCCCAAACCTTATTTGGGCTGAGACCCCTTAGCTTGCTGTTGGGAATAAGACATAAATTAAGTTGGGCAATTATGTTTGTTGGGAAAAGTTTTGTTGCCGGTATTATGTTTGTAAGGGTAATTAAAGTACAATAAGCTCTCTTTTTGAGTCGTACTTTTGTAACCCAGAGGTTTTGTGACGCGAGCACCAGGTGCCCTCGGCGCCCCACCGGACGCTGGGCCTCAGCGGCGTGGCGCCGTGGAGCGCCTCGGCCCGGCGCTGGCTGCAGCGGCGGATCCGGCAGAGCCCGCTGCTGGCGGAGGCGCAGCCGGCCGTCTGCCAGGCGAATGGGGACGCGGTGCAGAGGTGTTTTTTGGGTTGGTTTGCTTGAAAAATTAGAGGGCCCTGGCAAAGGGAATGGAGCATAGGTGTCCTTTTTTGGTGTCCTTTTTGGTGGGTTTGTCCCCAAGATGGCTTTGGAGAATCAAATATTGGTGGTCTGAAGATTGGAGGTTTGAAGATTGGAACTGGATCTTGTGAAGGGTAAATGGGAAACCCCTAACGACCCAAAGGTTTCGTTGGGAGCCCCAAGATGGGGGGCTTGTGGAGCAAGAGCAAGCCACCAATCCACAAGGAAGGGGGAAACTGAATCGCGGGCTTTTGGTTAGCATAGAGCATGGTTGGTCCGGCGTTGGGTGTGTTTAAAACCCAAAAATCCCGTAGCCCCAGTGAACATCCGAATCCAACCACTAAAATAGGAAGCCTAAAATGGGTGGTGAATTCGCCTACCAACCAACATGGAACCAAAACTGTTGTGACAACCACAGCCAAATGACGTGCGCAGAAAACTCCCGTCACAGCCGCGAGGCGCCCCCCGGCTGCGCCTGCGGCTCCGGCGGCTCCGGCGGGATCTTCGTGGGCCGCAAGGGCTCGCGGAACTCGCGGCCCCTACCTGGCGCGGAGCTGTTGGAGGTGCGCCTGCCGGGCACTGGGATTCAAGAGGGTACAGGATTTTGTCATCAGTAGTTCTTCGCGAGAAAGAAGGAGAGTGGAGTGCAACAGAGTGTTGAGCCCAGCAACCCGAGCCTCCTCACCCCCCCCCATTCATCCTTCCCATCCTTCCCATAGGCCGCTTTCGCCCGGCGGGGCTTCCGCATCGTTTCGGACGCCTCTGCGTTGCCCTTGGCAGAGCTGGCGAAGGCGTTGTACGGCACCTGCCGCCTCGCCGGGTTCTCTGGCACGGGGATGCTGAACATGATCTTCCTGCCGCCCCAGGTGGGGAACCGAAATACTCAAGAGAAGTCAAATCCACAGACGGATTTTTTTTGAGCCGGTGCCCTTGTTGGGGGCGGTAAAGGGAAACCAAAAAGGGACAACCGCCATTTTGGGTCGCTATTGGTTATATGTGCCGCGGGCAAAAGACCTGCTTTCTTGGGGTTGGGCGGGATGGTCTTCGAGCCCTTAATCAGTATTTCCATAACCCACAAGTTCTGGCACATACAGGTGTGACTCTTTTGAGGATGCCCTTTCTTAAAGGGACCTCCCACCCATTTCAGGAAACTCCCTTTTTGTTTACGAATCCGTACATGGGCAAGAAGTTTTGTGCGCGAGTTTGGGCCCACAGAAGATAACGGATTGAAAGGAACGCCCGTTTGCGGAGGACTTTCCTTTGATGTTCCTTGGAGTTTGGACAAGAAGGGTCATGTTGCGCCGCAAATGACACGGATGCCAGCCCGAGTTGGTCTGTCTGCAGAGAGTGGGCCGTTCGATTCAATCCCAAAAGCCGTGTGTGTTTGTTTGCGTTGACCATGCTGTTGTAAATTGATGAACATACATTTGATAGCTTGATGTTTTTTGGACTCAGCTTGAGATCAGGTTTTGCCTGTGGCGCATTCTGTTTTAAAGAAAGGTTTTGTTTGGCATCCCGTTGAGTGCCTGAGGCTTCTGTCGTGGAGCTGAATCCCCACATGGTCTACGCCAATTCCTGGCTCTGGGCGCATACCTTGGGCTACTGCTACTGCCAGGCCGGCGGCGCCCTGCGTAGCACTCGGCTTTCGAGCTTCAAGCGGTTTCCCATCGAAGAAGCCGAGGGGCGAGCCACCAGATGAGCTATTTTGGATGGATGTTTCTTTCCCATTTTGCTCTCATTTTGATGTGGCTGCGGGTCAGGGTACCCAAAATTCAACCGTGGTAGATGGATATATGAACTAAAATCTGCGGTCCCCTGGTTGTTTAGGTTTGACCCATAGCCATATCCCCATATTTGTTTCAGTCGAGCCGGGAGGTCCTGCCCCGGGCGGTGGACGCGGATTCCGCGGAGCGGTGGGCGGCCCTTGCCCTCGGGGTAGCCAGCGAAGTCGAAATCGAAAAGAGCGATGCACGGCCGCCGAATCGCATCGGAATCGTCGGAAAATCGAAATCCGATTCGGGGCCGACTCAGATTCACCTGAAGGAAATCGCTTAGTTTTGAGAGAGTTTTGCTTCGAGATGTGTTCTGTTTCACTCTTGCCAGATGGATCCATATCTCTGGAATCCCTTTAATTCATCCGAAGGTGGAGGGGATGGTTGCAATGGATCCTTCAGCAAGTCCTCTGGATGGACAGTCCCTCAGTCCCTGGGAGGATCCGAAGGGGTCATGTTTTCACAGGAAATGATTGAGCGCATCGGTAAATCCTCACTTGATGTTCTTTTTTGAGCACAACGCAACCCCCATGATGCATGATGATGCATGACATGTTTGCTTTGATTTCATGACTTTCTGCAGCGTCCCGAATGCCGCATGGTCATTTTGCCATGCTTAGCACTCCGCTGGCGGAGAGTATTCGTTTTTTTCTGCTCGAGCAAACTTGCTTGTGCCTTAAACATTGTCAGTCCCCTCTGCGACATTGCTTGCGCTATTTTGACGCGTTTCTAACGGGTGGCCGGTATGTGCTCTCCTGATTCTGGAGCGGTCTCGTGAGACGTGTGAGGCTGATATTGTAGCAGGGCTCTTTCAGAGCCCGTCATCCTAGGCATTGTTGGAGTCTGGAGGAAAGGCTTCTATTTTGGGTACCCATTTTTGACCCACAGCCATTTCTTTGCGTTGGTGCCCATTGTTTTTGTTTGTTGCAATGTTCCATCGACTTCTGCTCTATTCATACTGCCTGCTCAGCTCGGTTTGTTCAACTTATGTCTCTCTTCAGTGGCCGCAGCTTGCTCGCTCATCATTTCGGGCTGGTTCAACATAGGCTACCCTCTGCAAGACTTGCGGTCAGGCAGCAGCGGGATCCGTGAGTCCGGGCCCCAAAGAATTGCGCAAAGGGACACCCAGACGCCTTCGCATGGGGCTGGTTGATAAGTTCTCTGATCCTTGCAGATAACACCGGACAGGCTGCACGTAGCTGTCGCATTCTTGTTCTTGCATTGATTCATGAAGCGGTGCCTGTTTGGTTTGCCTTTCGGCATTGAACATGATGCAGGAACCCATGAGACAAGGAATGTCCCACGATCGGGAATATACCTTTCGGGCCTTTCAACTTCCAAGAGCAGCTGGACTTGAAAGAAGTTTTGCATGCACCTGCTTGCCATCTCTCCTGGTCAGTTTATGTTTTTTCTTTCCGCAACTCTGTTGCCCATGTTTGTTTCCACTATTCCAGCAGTCTTTGCAAGCAGTCCAGGGAAGCTGCAGCCAGAGGCCAAAATGCAAAAATGCCCAAAAAACCCGCCCTTCCAGCTTCGGGAGACAGATTCGGGTGGTCCAACTCCCCAAAGACTTGCTGGTGCGATAGGTAGGGAATTCGGGAAATGAACCGTTTGGGGGTCCCTTAAAGGACACCACCAGCGGCATGGTTTGCTTTTGGGTCACTTTCTTTTGTCATTCCCTTCTAGGGGTCACTTCCCCATTCTTTCCAGGGATTCGGGTCTTTCTAGAAAACCACCCAAAACCCTGGGGAAAAGGATCTGGTTTTTGAAAAGAACGATGGCTGAAAAGAATGGGGAATCAACCCCTAGATCCCTGCATCTCTTGCACCAGCAAGACGAGGTCTTTTCAGCCCACAGATGGGGATGGGTCAAAATTGAACCACCAGGGGACCGCAGGTTTTAGTCCATGTTTCCACTTGCCAGGAATCCATTTGGGGTCGGCGGATTTTTGACCCACGCCAGATTGAGGTGTTGAGGAGTCGCACCGTCTGCGCTTCTCGGCCGCGGAGAGGGTGCTGTACCTCTTCCGGCCCCTGGGCTCCTGCGGCGATGTTGGCTCGTGACCAAACTCTGGAGCTTTCATCGCAGTGTTTTGCAGGCGGAAATACAGGGGGTTGGGTTTGGACTTGAGTCCTTGCTCGAGGTTTGCTTTTTTTTTTTTTTAAATATGTTGGAAGGGCTGCGAAATGGGTCCTGAGCCTCGGGTTGACCAGTGGATGAGAGCCCCAGCACCTAGTCAGAAGAGGTTTCAATTTGAACATAGGCGCCCAAATATTGAGTTTATGTTGGTTTTCTTTTATTGAGATTGGAGCCAAAACGGTTCATAGTTTCGACTCATACCCAAAGACAGACTGCAGGGGCAAGAGAAACACTGTTCTTGGAGGTCTTGGTGTCTGGATGTTCTGCCTGATAGAACAAGGGAAGTCTTACTTTGCTATCAAGCCACACAAGAGCCTGGGTTGTCTGGGCCATGGGGTGACCCAGCATAGTTGAAAAGACTAGAGTCAAATATGTGTAGGGGGCTGTTGCTGTCATTGTGATTGTCTCTAGATTGTCGTAGCTGTTGTGGTTTGTCGTCGTTGTCATTGTGGTTGACCGGCTGGTGAAGTTGTGCGCCAACATGTGTGCTCTCAGGCAACAAGACGAGCCAAGCAGCAAGCCGCGCCGCGCCGAGGCGGGGGTATTTTGATTGTCAGTCAGCTTGAATCCGGAGCTGTGCTTTCATTTTGTGGATGCGGGAGTTGACCCTCCACCCACTTGTGTGGAGGGTCCAATCATAGTGTCTGCCTTTTGTCTGCTTGCAGTTTGTTCCTACGGCGGAGTTCTTTTGTAAGCTCACGCACGCCTTTGGAGGCTTTGGCACGGAGACTTTGGTAAAACGACCGATGTCAGCAGTTGGACAGCGTGACGTCTGGGCGTTTGCTGTCCCCGAGGTCCTTCAGCTCGGCAACAAGCCCAACCTCACCCACCCAACGCAACCAAACTTGGATCCAAGCCAACCCAACCAACCAAACCAACCCAACGCTGTGAGTCCAACCCAACCCGATGAACCCAAGCCCCATGGGCACGTTCCTGAGGCCTTGCTGCCTCTCTGCAGCTGCGCCGAGGCGCCGGCGGTGTTGCTGGAACGGCTGCGGGCGGAGGTGGCCGGGCAGCTCCGGGCCAAGGAGGCCGCGCGGCTTTGCCGTGGAAATAGAGAAGGTGCAGGTGGAATCCGTGCGTTTTGTCTCTTCTTTTTTTCTCTGGTTTTTCCGTTTCTTTTTTTTTTTTTTCTCCTTTTTAGAAGTATTTTCCTTTCTGTGGGTGTGAATTGAATCCGTCCAGTTGGTTCGTTGAGGCAGAGCTGGTTGGTTAGTTGGGTTTGGTTTGGTTTGGTTTGGTTTGGTTTGCATCGGTTCGGTTCGGTTCGGTTCGGTTCGGTTCGGCTCGGCTCGGCTCGGCTCGGCTCGGCTCGGCTTGTTTGTTTGTTTGTTTGTTTGTTTGTTTGTTTGTTTCACTCTTGCATGTTTTGGAGCAAAATACACGCACACCACACAACGCATGTAAGTTTCGCCACGGTCCTTGTTGAAGCTGTCATGCTCGTCATTGGCTTTCTGTGCTGGCCAGGCGGATGCAACGCTAGCAGCAGCGCAGATGGCGGACTTTGAGCTGAGGCGCGGTTTTGTTTGGTTTAGAACTGGTGGTGTCACGCTCAGCTGGCAGTTTGCCCTTGGCGTTCGAAGGAAATTTGGCGCGGAAGCAACTGTTTGCCACATGCATTTCAAGTATGGACCCCGAGCTGGTGGACATCATGGTGGCGACGTGGCCGTGGGTCAACACCAATGGTACCATTTTGGTTGGTAGGTGAATTCGCCACCCATGTTAGAACCTATTTTAGTGGTTGGATTGGTTGATGTTCACTGCTACGATTTGGGTTTTGAAAAGCCCATGGCCACGTGTCTCCGCCCGGTTTTGGAGGGGGTGCCCCAGTGAAGTGGACGTGGCCCCCACGGGCGCAGGCTGCAAGTGGCGCAGCTGGCTCGGGGCCTGCCGGGCCTTGAGCGGGAGGCGCTGCTGTGCGCCGCCCACGGGGCGGCCGCGCAGCTGCGGGGGCTGGTGCAGGCGGGTGGTGTGCCGGGGTGGGGGGGGATTTGGAGTTCTGGAGATGGTCTGGGTGTATCCAGCTGGTGTATCTGCTGCACCTAAGATCCCCATCTAATATTGTTGGGAAGGGGATTCCCTCTCCTTTGTGAGCTGGACACTGAAAGGCTTTCCTCTTTTGAGCTTCCGTTTTTTTGGGGGGGGCCGAAGGGAAATCCACAAACCTCCAACCACCCGCCCAAACCCCCAACCGCCGGCCAGGAGCAGGCGGCAGAGCCGCTAGAGGCACAGCTGCGGCGCCTGGCGCAGCAGGTGGTGGCTGGCGCGGACGCGGACCCGGAGGTCTGTGGGGCTTCTGATGGTTGACAGGGACTCGTTGCCAGCCGGGGGTGAGGGGGGGTGCAAGCGAAGACTCCATCTATCCATTACCATTTTGGGGTAGGTGCCCAATGGTACGATGAGGTTTTTGACCCATGGCCATCTCGGGCCCCGAGAGCGCCACAGGAGCTGGAGGGCCTGCGGCCGCCCAAGCACACCGCCGCGTGCCAGGCGGGCGGAGCGCTTCTGGGGACAAAAGGTGGCGACCTTGAAAGCACCCGGCGACCCGCAGAAAGTTCTGCAAGGTTCGAAGGTTCATCGTCAAGATCCTCATGACCATCATCATCATCACCATCACCATCATCACCATCATCATCATCATCATCATCATCATCAACATCATCACCATAACCGTCATCACCATCACCATAATCACCATCATCATTATCATCATCCTCACCATCACGATCATCACCATCACCATCATCACCATCATCACCATCACCATCATCATCATCATCATCATTATCATCATCATCATCATCATCATCATCATCATCACCATCACCATCACCATCACCATCACCATCACCATCACCATCACCATCACCATCACCATCACCATCACCACCATCATCATGATCATCATCACCATCACCATCACCATCCTTAACATCTTCATCATCTTCATCATCATCATCATCATCATCACCATCATCACCATCATCACCATCATCACCATCACCAACAGGTAGGTTGGAGTAACTGTTTTGCTTCAGCCATGGCAGGCCTGTCAGCAGCTGGCCGGCGACAGCAGCGCCGGCGCTCCGTCCGGGCGCCGGGCGCGCCTGGCGCTGCAGCGGGCGGAGAAGGCGCTGGCGGCAGCGCAGCGGCAGAGCGCGCGGCTGCAGGCGCTGCTGCAGGCGGGGCCGCCGGAAAGAGGAGAAGAAAAGGGTTGTTTGGACGTGGTTTGCAGTTTGAGGGGTTCTGGAACGTGCGATTTGCGGGGTGGGAACCCCCCGCAAAAAATACAAAGTAAAGTAAATAAAACGCTTGGAGCGATTTGGAGGGCATCTTTGATGTCCCAGCTTAACGGAGGTTGTCTCTTGGAGCCGGGTAGCTCTTGGCTTGCTGCCACATTGGCGTGGCTGTGACAGGGACTTGTTGTCCCTTTCGCAGTGTTACAGTGATAGTGGTCAGCTAGCAGCCAAAGGACCTAGACCGGCTGGGAACTTGGTAAGTAAAAGTGGCTTGCATCGTACTTGTTGCTACTTGATGCAGCAATCACTTCAACCAAGCAATACAGGAAGCAGATGAATTTGAAGCCAGCACTAACCCTAGGAAGTGCCTGCGCAGAGCTGCCTTCAAGTCGTGAAAAACATGAGCTTCAGTAGCAGGGAGGACAAGGAACTACCAGTGTGAATTTAGAGAGCGGAAGCCCCCACAGTCAAGACCAACTCGATTTGTGCCATGGTAGAACAAATTGGTGACCAATCCACCCCTATGAAGTAGGAACTCTTATCCTAAGGGCTCCACTCGAAAGCCATTGCCCATTGGATCCAAGCCAAGGACGTGACATAGCACCACAGTTTCGCGTGAAGAGTGCTTCCTTGCTGTGATGAGGGACCCCAATGGACGGATGCTATGAGATGTTAGATGCATTCTGGGTGATGTGGTTTTTCGTCAGCCTTGACATTCAGCAGCGGTCGGTCTCCATTCCCATCATGCAACGGTCACCGGCTGTCAAGTATTGACCACAAGCAAACACCACACAGAACCAGGACAAGCAGCCGCCACGAGCAACCAGCTTCACCAAGCAATCACCACAACAGCCACTAAAAGCAGCAGCCGCCACCGGCAACCACCGCAAACCGCCACAAGCCACGGCTGATAGCAACCACCAAGGGACACTGCCACAAGCAACTACAACCTGCAACCGCCAGAAGCGAGCCCCACAAACAGCCGCAACAAGCAACCACCACAAGCAAACGCAATGCATTGTCACACACACAACCACCGCAAGCAACTAGAAGCATCCACAAGAAAGAAGTGACTACACATCATTCACTTCTATGTCTGCAGGTTGCGGGCCTGGAGCCTATCGCCGGGGATGCGCCGGAGGTGTGGGAATCAAAGCCAACGGGCCAGAAATCTCATGGAGTCCAACCGGAAGTTGGTTGTCCCCAAACTTTGGACTTCAACTTGAGCGTGATTTCAGGATTGAGTGAAAAGGGCCAGCCGTTGGCGCAAGCTTCGGCAAGGCCCCAAAGGTGCTTGGCTTGGGCAAAGATCTCTTGTCTCCCAGGATTCTTGTGACAGCTTGGGGGCATCCAGCGAGTGTCAGCTAGCAATTTGGTTCACGCCTTGCCGTTGTTCAGGTTGAGATCTTTGGTTTAGGGTGTTGCAGGCTTTGGGGCTTCATTGTTCATCGGGTTGGCCGCTTTTTGGCTTTGAAGGGCTGCGCATAAGAAGCTTGTTTGGGGATGCTTCACATGGAGCTCGAAGTTGTAGTGGAGCTTGAGGCGAAGGCTTCAAGCCAGCCGCACGTTCTCACAGGACGCAACTACTCGCGCAACTCGAGAGGTGGTGTACCTTTCATTCGTGTGCAGGACACCTTCCTTTGAATTTCACGAATGAGATGGCACCGTCCTCATGCCCCAAGCTGTTGCTGCCTCTTAGAATGTTTGTCTTTCGGGATTTCAGTCTTGGCCTTGAGACAGGGTGCCGTTCTTGGTGCTCTTGCCGGGTTCGATGTGGCTGTGGGTCAAAAGAGTCAAAACCAATGGTACCATTTTGGGGTGGGTGAATTCGCCACCCATTTTAGAACCTACTTTGGTGGGGATAAAAGGGCGACCCCCACGACCGCCTTTCCGAGACGTCTGCTCGGCGTCAGGTGGCCTTCCCCGCGGAGGAGGTTCGCCGGGAGAGCCGACATCCCGCGAAGGTGGAGGCGGTGCTGGCGGAAGTGCGGAAGTTGGGGCCAAGGACTCGAAACCGGTGGTAAGGGTGAGGGGGTGAACACGCGCGATTTTGCAACCTGCATTTTATATCACACATATGCATAGTACTATATATATATAAATGCATTCATATTATATCATATGAAAGCTATGTTGTAATATATTTTAGCTATTTTTCGTATCTGATGAGTGTGCAGTGAATCATCTTAGCGCAACGTTAGGTTCATCCCTGCCCGTTCTGCTTACCAAAAACGGCCCACTTAGAGTTGGCGTTTATCCCAGAAGTTCAACTAAGCAACCAGTGTGGACAGTTTCAGAATAGGGGAACGCATCCCCGATTCCTCTAATCATTCGCTTTACCTAACAAAACTGTTCAACTCCAGCTATCCTGAGGTAAACTTTGGAGCGAACCAGCTACTAGATGCTTCGATTCGTCTTTCGCCCCTATACCCACATATGACGAACGAATTGCACGTCAGTACCGCAACGAGCCTCTATCAGAGCTTCCCCTGACTTTGCCCTTCGCAGGCATAGTTCACCATATTTTGGGTTCTATCACACACTCTTTGACTCAAACTTCTCCCAATTGATTAGTCGGTTGCTAGCGCAAAGCATCCCAGCAGTCACCTTCACTATGCTCACGGGCTTGTCGCCCGAGAACTTGAACATGTGCTAGACTCCTTGGTCCGTGTTTCAAGACGGGTCGGAGAGAATCGCTTAATCAGCAAAACACGCTCGCCTGAATCCAAGCTGAGAAACACCGCAAGCATTCCCTCACGTATGTGCGAAAGGCTTACGCTTTCACGCGCAAGGCTAGTGAAAAGTACATTGGCTTGGTGTGGAAGAAGGGGCAGGGAGGTGATCCACGCCTTGCCTGCGACAAAGGGCCTTCAAATAAATTCAAGCATCGCAACTAGGGGAGGGGGTAAAGATTTCCGATTGGTGAGTTGTTGTAGTTTGATAGTCGTTGATGCCCTGCCAATCGCGCATCTGTTGAACACAGCAGCATGCAGGGCGCGTGGCTTTTTTCCCCTCTCTGTGTCTAGGGGTGGTAGGTGTTTGGGCAGTGGGGCTTTGCTTGCAAAACATGACGCAAGTATAATAGGCGACACGGGCTGGGCGCAGATGTGTCAACACTGGGCTTGCGATCGCCAGATCTCGATAGAAGGCAGGATGAGGCACTCTTCACTTTCAGAGAGCAGTTGGATGTGCGTGCGTGCTGAAGCCTCGCATAGCTGCATAACTCAGGTCCATGTGTGGTTCGTTCACTAGCGCCCTCGCTTGTTTACCGCCGAACTTGTAGGCTCCCCAAATGCCATTTGCCAACTCTCTGTGTTCCTCAGCTTGTGAGGAAGGATCTCTTGGCAAATCGGAACAGCACGCTGGAGGGTTAAAACCATTTGAGGGGTTCGGCAGCGGGTTTGGGTCTCTGGTCCAGTGAGGGACATGGCGACTCGAGTCGCTCGATTTCCCATGTTGTTGTTTTGCCCAAACAGTCTTTTTAAGCATGGCTCATCTGAGCCCCCAGCTGACGTGCCATTTTGAGAGTGTTTCCCTTGGATGTGTGCTGCAAGGATGAGAGCTGTGAGTCCCGCAGCCATCCGTTGCGCACCTTCTTGCCTTTTTTTGGCAAAGTCGGGGGTTCCGGAACCTCCGCGTTTGGTTCCATCCCATGGGCCGCGCCCGTTTCCAGTCAGGAGCCAGTGCCTGGTGTTGGGCAGTGCGCCGCTCCTGAAGAAACTCCAGGAGCTGCTTGAGAGCTCGGAAGCTCCGCTGGAGGTTTGCTGGCTGCCGGAGGCGGCGGTTTTTTGTGTGTTTCGGGGCAGCTGGAAATGGGGATCCTTCCATCGTATGTGTTTTCTTCTGCCCTGATTTTAGTGAGAATTCGTGGGGGTGGTGTGTGCAGGGGGGAGGTGGGAATCGAGTCAATTGCAAAATCTGACGGACCAACCTCCAGCCACAAGACCTGGCCCGGATTCCGTGAAGATGGGCCGCCCTCAGACATAGCTCTAAAGGAGATAAAGGGTTTGTGTTTTTCAGGGAACTCTTTTCGGGTTTAAAAGGAAACCAAAAGGAAGCCAGTCGCCTGGGGGCGAGCTCGCCGATTCTTTGGGATGCAGTTCTAATTTTTCATGTTTCAGAGTTGGGTATGATCTTCTTCACGGACCCTTAGTTGGGGATTCATGTCCTCCAATCACTTTTTGAGGTGGTTCAACGGTGGTTCCCTATTAAAACTCATGGTCAGTTGTATTAACAAATGCAGAATAACTAAGACAGCTTTGGTGTTCCAGGCGCGTGTTGTAGGACTTTGATTAGACCATGGATTTGCGACGAACGTAAAGTGGCACCTGATAGATGGTCCCTTGAACTTGCGGAAGGGTACTTTGTGGTTTGGCAACTTTTTCCCCCTGATCTGCAAAGGCCATGGGTTCCAGTGAGCCGCTTTTGCTTCAGGGCACGGGCGAGGGCAAAGGCGAGCGCCGGGTGCTGCTGGCGAGCGCGGAGTTTTGCCGGGGTCTCAAGGGGAGGGCATTGGCATGTTTAGACGAATGGGAACCTTCCAAATGGTTTACAAGGGGGTTGACCAATACTCCATCTAGGCCCCCAGTTTTGACCATGGCTAACTTTTCCCATGTGATTGAACTATCATCTTTGTGGTTTTCCAACTAACGGTCATCCCGGACCTTTATGTGCCGATCGAAAGGGTTCGAGGGTCTGCTTTTGTCCGTTTCGCTGAGGCGAGAAGCGGCGCCGCGTGCCGTGGGACGGCGAAGCAGTGCGGCACGTCTTCCTGACGCAGCCGCTCAAGGCAGGGGACTGGTTATTCCCAGCCCCTGAATGGGATCAGGGGAGGGGGGTGACCCCTGGAGGCTCCATCTGCCCTTCAGAAAGACTAAGTGGAGTTGGGGGCCCTCACGCCGCCCCCCTCTGTTGGCTTCTTGGGCGGCAGGGTCCGCTGGAGCGAAGGGTGGCGGTGGAAGCGGCGGTGGTCCACCGCTTCTGGGTCGCCCAAACCGCCGGGCGGCCCGGGGAACGTAATGCACCGAGGTCAACTTGGCAACGTGCGCAATTTGGCATGCTTGACAACGAGAGGGTGCTCCTTATCTTTTTGGTTCTTTTACTGGGAAACGAAGGCGGAAGCCCACTCAGAACTGGTGATGCTGGTGGTGGAGGTGGTGGTGGTGCCCATCATTTGGAGAGAATAATCCAGGTGAGGACGCAGCAAAGGATGTTCGACCTTTAGGGAGCACTCCTGTAGACAGGCAGTGATCGGATGTTTCTGGGGCACCCGCTTTTCTTTTCGTTTTTGCGAGCTTACCCATGCACAGGAGACATGTGGCAGCAAGATGCAGCTTGTGGGTAGGGGGGGCTACTGCCATGAAAGTCACAGGCGAAAGAACTTATCCACTTGTTGCCCAGGTGGAAGAAGAGCTTCACGCCAGCTGACGGATTGGCGCCGCTTAGATCTTGCCTGGGCTTCAGACGTTTGAAAGTAGGGGCTCTGTTAAGGTTGTCACAACACATCCAGACTCGCGCCCTCCTGAAAAGCTCATGAATGTGCAACGGTGAAAGAAGTCATATCCGAAGGTTTCCTTGCCTCCAGACATGGGGTTTTGTTTCTTTCAGTCAACTGGCTGATTTCGACCTGCGCAGGGAATGAAACGCTGAAAGGCCCATGCTCAACTCGAGCCCTTGCAAAGATATGAGGCGCTAGCCTAGCAGCCACCAGTCGTCTAGTCGAGGACCAACTTGGAACTAAACATTCCCTGTGTTGGCCCTAGCGGCCTGTCTGGCAAAGATTGTACAGTGCCATAGAGCGGCAGTGCCATGATTGCAGGAAAAGGACTTGCCAGGTTGAGTCTTTCACTGCTCATACGTGGTGGTGGCGGTTGGTGGCGGCGGTGGTTTGCCACCATCGTCGTGGTTGTGGTCACGGTTGCGGCGTTGTTGCAACGGTTGCTGGCATTTTAGTCGTTGCCGTCGTTAGTTGCCGTTGGTCGTCATGCTGGCAATCGCCGGTGAGCTATCGAGAGGCAGTTCAGGTGTGCATCACAATCAGGCCCTCACAACTCAGTGCTCATTTGCTTACTTTCTCGGTTGGTTTTACTTTGGGGCTCAATCAAATTGACTGGCGTCGAGGGTATTTGCCCTTCGAAGACGTGTTGTTCTGGTGTTTTTGGTGCTTACCTTCCCTGCTGTGTAGCTCCCCTGCCAATCGGGCAGGGTTTGCGGGATGCTTGCAAGACGTGTTCCTTGCTCCTTGGCTTTACAAAATTGACTCTGCTTTCGCCATGCTTAGCTGACCTTGCCGCTTCGGCCGTTTCCAACCGATGGAACAGCCAGGGGAGCTTTGTGGCAGCTGGCCCGCTTAGCCGTTTCGAGTGCGCAGGCTGCGACCCTGAAAGCAGCTGGGAAGCTGAAGCGCACGCCCAAGGAAGCCGCGGATTGCCTCTTTGGGGAGGCCTGGGCTGGGGGTGGCCGGCTGATGGGCTCGCTCGCCCAATGGACGAGGGAAGTTGCGTTGCCAGATTTCATGGCGGCAGTGCTGGACCCCCCCACACCCCCCATTCCGCCCCGCAAGGATCAGCCAACGGAGCATCAATCAGTGGGTGTGTCCAAAAAATTTGCCGACTTCCAGGCAGAAAGCAAAAATGTCAGCCAGCAGCATCCTTCTGCGGGCTTCTGCAGCGCCATGAGAATGGTCCAAAAGTTCGGTGGATTGGGAGATGCAATCGACTCAGACTCGTGACTCGTGACTCTTTCGCATGATGCGCGCACCATGCGAGCGAAAGTGGCCTCTGCTTTTGGATTTCTGCCTCCTGGAGAGCTCCTGGATTGCGCACAGGTGGTTTCAGCCTGGACCTACACGTTGCAGCATCAGGACGCAGATGAGGCGCTACCGGCCGTTGGCAGGAGCCAAATGAGGGGGGGGGGAATTGGGGTGGCTATGAAAACTGAAGGGTTGATGACATTTAGATCCCCCAAACCGTCCCCCAAAGGTTTGCTGACCAAAGTGGTGCCATCCTCCATACGAGGAATTTGAGGATTGGGCCATGCAGCCACATTGGTGGCTGAAGATCAGGCTACTGGTACACTGAATGAATATGGGGAGCTGCCTGTGTTTGCCTCATAGTACCGGGAGAGGTGAAAACAGGCAGTCCTCGCTGATGGCATCATTTGGAAGCAGACCAGGGTCGACCATTCGAGCTTAACTTTTGAGGGAGGGCAAGTGAACTGTCGCTTGCTTACGTAGGATCGAGTGGTTGCAGGTGTTTGCTGCTTTTGTTTCTACTCTCTCATGGCAGGAGGTCTCCTTTTCACAGTTCCAAGGGTCAGCTGGCGATGCTTCTCTCGTTCGGCGCGGGACTTAGGTTCCCCTCCAAGGTTCCAGAAATGAGCCCAACGCCAAGCTCCACTCACGTCTGAGAGGATCTGGGTTCCGCAGGACTCCAGGCCTCTGAGTGTCCCTACTTCAACCGCCCCTGGCTCGAGGTCTTCTACTCACGTGACCCATATGGTGAGTTTGCAGCACCGTGACAAAAAGAAGAAGAAGAAGCCCAACGGGGCCAGCAAGTCGGCAGAAAGTCGGACCCGGACTTCGCGTCAAGCCCAGTGTGGATATCAGGGCTCGACTTGCTGGGTCCGAGTTTGAGAGAAGCAACCTACTCCAAGGCCAAACTTGGGACTGTCCTTGCTCAGAACTGGGGGCCCTAAGCTATGCCCAAAGCCGACTCCTTTTGGTTTTCCCATGTTGGCCCAGTTTTCGTGAAGGTGCCAAAAGGTCAGCCTTTTTTTTGTTGGGTCCTTTGGGCAAGTGAGTAAATGGAAGATTGATCAACCCCCCTACTCCAAGTCCAAGTCTTGGACTCTCTGGCCGCGAGGCGAGCCTGCCGGAGGGCGAGTCCGGCCGCACTCCGAGAGATTGGGCCCGTGGTGCGAGGCGAAAGAACTAGACACACACAGAGACGCATTCTTCCATGATCATGGCCCAATTTTTGATGACGTACAACCATTCCCATTCAGATTCTTTGGGTCTTTTGGGTGCTGAAAGGTGCCATCAGGCTCAGACCCTATGCCCTTGAGCAGGTCTGAAGGACCGCACTGTAGTTACCCCCTGCAAGTGGTAGCCACAAGATCAAATTCATCGTGCCGGTCGGCCTTTGTTTGCGGGAGCTTGGGCTTTTGTGGGTCTTGGCGTGCAGCTTGTGCCAATGTTCAGTGAGCTTCGTAGCGGATCTGCACGTGTTTGCTGGACCCACGACCTCCCCCCCCTAAACCCCTAAATGGTGTATTCGATGTTAAGCTTGGTGTCTTTTTTGTCGAGAGAGAAGTCTCCACTGGACTTGGCCGACCTTTCTCACCATTTCAGTTTGGGTTTCCTTCGTTTTCCCCAGGGTGACTTGCAGTCTGAGCCTGGCTCTGAGGCATGCGCTCCGTGGACAAGCCCGGGCCCGAGACCGGAGTTATGACCTCAAGTTACCTGAGACCTGTTTGCCTCTGAATCAACATGGGAGTTCTCTTGAGGCCGACCGAACACGGTCCCCCATTGTGGATTTGAAGAAAAGCTTCCCTTGTATCACAGAAGTGGCAACCAAGCCCTCATCCCCAAGAAACGGTTCAAAGACCTTTTGCGGGGGTGGGTATGGATATTGTCTATTCGGGGTTGTTAGCTGCTGGGGATGGCCATTCTAGAATCCTTGAGTGGGCTTCGTAGACAGCCATTGAATTTTCTGGGAGGGGAGCCAGGCCTGCGCGAGATGGTTGTTTGGGCACGCCTGAAAAGTAGGGAGGCTGCAGCAAGAGAGAAAGACCCACGCCTTTGGGGCTAGACGGCTCGGGCACGTTTCGGCTGCGATTTCTTATTGAACGAGGCTGAGCAAGGTTCAAGAGTTGATGTGGTAGGCCTTGACTTAGGGAGGGTGATGGATAGTTCCTATGACGGCATTGAAATCGCAGGCTACAGCAGCCAATTGCCCTACCAGCACCCCGGGCCACGAGGCCAAATGAGGGGCTGCACCGGACCCCCAAGTTCCCCGAGGTTTCTGGACCAGGTGGGCTACTGCATCGCCGCCGGCAGCCAGAGGCGCAGCTCAGCTGGTTGCGGCTTGCGCGACAAGCTTCCACGGTCCAATTCAATCGCTCTCGTGTCAACCAACCGCACCATGCTCACCTTGCCGCGAATTCGAGGTCGCGGTCCAGGGAATGCAGATGCCCTTGCATTCTTTTAATTCCCCAACAGCTGAAAGCTTTTGGGTCTCAGCCCAGATAGGCTCCGGGGTGGTCCGGGGCAGCCCGGAGGCAAGGTTCCACGAGGGTTCCACCAGGGTTCGACCAGGGTTCCACCAGGGTTCCACGAGGGTTCCACGAGGTTCTGCGAGGGCTGCGGGGTTTTGCGAGCACTAAAAAGAGCACCGCAGGCTGTTGGGGATATCACTTGAGCTTCTTTTTTTTTGAATGCGAGGGGGCCTCCTTTTTCGGGGTGCATGTTACTTGGACTTCTCCGGAGCTCTTCCGTGTTGGGGGCCCTCGTTACTTCCTGTGGACGCGGTCGGCACAAGTCGCACTGTACCCAGGCCGCATGGCAAGCGAGCCGTGGCTCAAGCATGGCTCAAGCGTCACCTGCTCTTGTTTTCCTCGAACTGGTGGTTGCTGGCAGGCAATTCGTTTCCCATGGCTGGGAATATGTTTCATCCTTTTATTCGCGGGATAACTTGGGCCACCACACAACTTTTTCAGCTACTGTGAAAGCATTGGTATCTTCTTGCCAGACAACTGTTTGCTTGTTTTCCCCCTTTTTTCTTCTTCTTTTGCTTCGAACACTAACCGGTGAACATGCGCGGGGTAGTAGCCACTCAGCAATTTTCGGGGGTAACTGTAAATGCGTTTGTTGCGGTTGCCTGTACATCTCTTCATTTGGGGCCGGTCGCCCCAGGCTGCATCAAGACCTGGCCTGAAATTATCACTTGTGGCTGGGTGGCTGTGGCAGTGGGTGGCTGTGGGTTAGAGGGCGGGGACGTTGCTCCGGCGCTCGCAGTTTCCTGGGGCGGGCGGTTCGCGGGCGTGAGCCTGGAGTGCTCCATCAGTCCCGCCTGGCGGAGGACGGGGACGCCGGCCGGGGGGGGGGGTGGGGCGGCAGCAATTCACGGCACTTGGACTTTGGTGCAGCTCACTTCCTGAGTTCATGAGCTTAACACTTTTTGGGAAGACCGTTTTAGTGGAAAATATAAAGTTTGGACTTTTTTGGGCCATCCACTCAGCAAGTGAGGCAGGTCAAGAGGCGCTGTTCCGCTTTGTGTCAGCTGGGATTTGGGGACTGGGTGCTGTTTCTGAGACACTGGATTTCAGACCGGTAGGGCCAGAGCACACGAGTTGGCATGAACTCCTGGCTGGCAAAAGGGCGTGTGCGCTGTTCAGTGTCTGGTCTTTGCTAGCTTGCTTCTTGCACC